AACTGTCTATTTTTTAAACTAGAGGAACATGGGAACATTGAATTTATCTGAGAAATATTTCTTCTCTATTCTGTTTTTCTATAATCTATTATCACGAGCAGAAAAAAAAAGAAAAAAAAATTTTTTCGATTAATTATATTTTTCGCGCATTCCAACCTCAACTGAAATTCTCATGTCAACTCTGACATATGCATTTCTTTATCGCCGCAATATTCTTGAATCATAACAGAATTCTTGTGCATCATATAGTCTGGAAAAAACAATTTAAATTCTGTATGTGCAAATAAAACCTTATAATGATCGTAAAGCCTAGTCAACGAGTGAAAAGATTTTTCTAAAATAAAATCCAATGCATGTATCGATTGAAAGCCTCTTTCACCTTTAGATATTCGTCGAGTCATTTTCAAGTATCGTCTATCATAACACAGCATACTCCACGGATATATTTTTATGACTGGGTGTTCGCAAAAATTGAGTTTTGAGCAAATAGTACTCTTGAGGAGAAAAAAAGGTGTCTCTATGTTTTTATTTCCATCGCCAGTTATTACATGAAACCATTCATTGCTGTTTGGAATAAGAGAATGATGCTTTCTTCTACCTGCGGCATTTAACATTATAAGCCAAGATGAGAAATAGAAGAAGAACCGAACCGTCATGCTTCTTTCTTTCCTTGTAAATTTATTCACACTACATAACTCCTCTACTAGCTCTTCGCATTTAAAAATGCTACTTCTTTTATTATCGCCTGAAACTAGTTCATCGCTAAAAGAAAATTGTTAGATGAATTAAAATAGGTAGCGAAGAAAAATGTATCTACATGCTAGAGGTCTAGACGAGGAAAAGAGAATAAAGAACAGTGAGTTTATTTTAAGCGTGTTCTAGATTTTGCTATTCAAATTTAAAGGAGCAGAGTTACTATTTTCTTTTTTTATAGAAGGAAAGTAGGTATAAAATATTCATTTAACATTTGGCTATATCATGACAACTACTGCACAATCCTGCCGCAATTTTGTAAGAGAAAAATTGATTAGGCTATTTTTCATGAAAATTAACAATGCATATTTAATAAATTTTATATTAAAAGCCGTCGCCATCATTGTGGGAAAAATCCCATGAAGAATTTTCATCAAAACAACAAGATACTCTATTTGCTGATGATGAAAATCATGATTCACCAGAAGACAATCCGACAATTGATGGTCAGGATGAGTGTGAATCAAGATCAGATACAACATTACCTATTGAAATAGAACTGAAAAATCTTAGCATCGAAAAACAATTTCAACCTTGGGAAACATCAACAAACCAAGACTATTTAATGATTATAATAAATAATGAATGTACTGTTGAAGAAGTTAAGCAAATCATAAAAGGTGATTTTTCAAAACAAGGTTTGAAATGGGCAGATGAAGAAGAAAACATGCGTCAATGGTATTTTGGATTGACGTCAATACAGATTCACTTTACTCACTCGCAATCTATTGATATTCCGAGGCTTTCGTTTTGTTCACGCATTCCATTTTGGATGGCATTACAGAAAGAAAAACAGCAACCTAATTTCAATAGGAATCAGCTTAGAGGACCAATTCGTCATGAACTACAATCAGATTGCGATGTTTCACTCAGCTATGGTGCACTTATTGATGTAGATCAATTCTTTTATTCACCAGAGCAGTCATGGAAAAATGATGCGAATTCGAGCTGGTCGATTTTTATGAAACATAAACACAATGATGGCAGTTTTATTCAATGGCAGATGGACGATGCTAACAGAAAGCAAAACAAGCAGTTATTAATTTCTAATATTGATCATACAATTATTGTTACTTTACATGAAGACGGTTTTGATATGTATATTTGCCAAAAATGTAACATGAATGAATTGAAAACTGAAACTGGAATGAATAACAATATTGGTTGTAAGCATTGTAGAAATGCATCATCTCGAGGTAGGCATCATCGGAGTAGAGATGCTCCGAAAAATTGCGAACAACATCAAAGATATCATCGATCAAGTTCAAGGCCACGTAGTTCTCAACTTTTGGGTCCGAAACAGCATGAACCTCGACAAAATCAAAAATATAACTTCGAGCGAATTGGTGTCAAATCTGGTTGCTATTTTTCTACTATTCAATTTAGTATGCATCGTAATCCACTGCGGATAGACAAAAATATTAACAATCGAATAAAACAAATATTTGCATCACTGATGGAATTTTTCGTTTCGCAACGAATAACTGTTTGTTATGGAAATATTGTTCCAAAGCCAGGACCAATTCCTTACTTATTTTTTCAACCGCAAACACCTGATTTCCCATCGCTTATCATGAGATATTCATGGCAAATGCTTTCTATCGTTGGATACCGTTTACAAATTCAAATCGCGAACAGCAGTTTCATCGCAGAATTGCATCGATTAAGTGAAGAGCCACACAACCCTGATGAATTATTTTATCGTGTATGTGTTTATCTATCACGTATATTGTCATTGAAGCCATTCGTGAGTATAAATCAAGAATTGCAACACGCCATCACTGAGTCGCGACAAAAACGAAATAATTGTGCGTATGGTTTAATTAGTAAAATAGATATTAAAGTCGAGAATGAAGCATATATACCATCGGTAACGTTAACACCAACCACAATTCGCATAAAACCATTAAAACTATGTCGAACGAATCGTGTTCTTCGAGCTATTGAACAGTTCGGTCAGCCACTTTATCATTTCGTTCTTGTTGATATTCGAGATGAAAATGGTCGACATTTACAATCATACCATTTTCGTCATTTAAAGCAAATTTTAATTGATTATTTGAAAAATGGTTTTCAGTTAATGGATGATAATCGGCAATATAAATATTTACATCATAGTCGATCACAATTACGTGGACGACAATTTTGGTTTTACCATCATCATCATGATGATACAGATCCTAGAAAAATAAATCCAAGTTTTTCTGACGCTTATCAATGGATGGGAAATTTTGAAAATGAAAACAATCCAGCTAAATACGCTGCTCGTATGGCTCTTTGTTTCACAAGTACGATAGCAACTGTTCAGGTAAATATTTTAAACTTTATCGATTTTTATGTCGTGTTCAAACGTGAACGTTCTATTTTATAGGTACCAGGAGATAAAGTTCTTATAGGAGAAGACATCGAGATCAATGTCAATGATAGAACTTTATTATTTACAGATGGCTGTGGAACAATGTCCGTTGGTTTGAGAGATAAAGTGAGTAAATCTCATGCATGCGGGAGAAGTATTCTGAATTGATAAATTTTTCTAATAAATGAAAGTTTCATCCAGGTCTTTATTTCAAGTTTTTGAACTGAGAACTTCCAAAAGGCTAGGGTCAATTTTATTTTCGAACTTTACAAACCCTAAAACTCCTCTCCTCAAATCCTGAAAATATTTTTGCTTTTTAGAAAATACTTTTTAATTGTAGCAACGAGTGATACAGTAAATTTCATTGAGAATATTCTAGTTTATTGAAGAATCCGAAACTTTTAAAGAATATGATTCTTGATACAGCCTGAAGATGAAATATGCTACACTCGAGTTATATTCCATTTGATTTTCATTATATCTATTGTCTGTTTATAATTCAACAGATAAAAAATAAACTCTGCATTAGAGATGAATTCAGTGCTGTTCAATTTCGTTACAATGGCGCCAAAGGTGTTGTTAGTATCAGTCCGGACATCAAGAAAGGTTTTGATTTATTTATTCGCCCTAGTATGAACAAGTTCAAAAGTGCACATCGCTGCTTTGAAAAATGCAAAATATCGGCTCCTCGAACGACCTATCTTAATCGTCAAGCTATCCTACTTTTATCTTATCGAAAAATATCGGATTGTTCATTTCTTATACTTCAACAACAAAATCATCTTATACTTATACGTTGTCTCTTGCGAAATTCTGATGCTGAAAAATTAATTATTGAAAAAATTCCCCGTTGGTTTTTGCCGGCCGATATACACATCGCAAATATTGATTATATTCATGAACCATTTTTTCGACAATTAATCATCAATGGATGTTTACAATCAACGCGAGATTTACTTCAACGAACACGTATTCGAATTCCGCCAAATAAAGGTCGCAACATGTTTGGTATTGTTGACGAATATAAAGTTCTTAAAGCAGACGAAGTATTTATTCAATACACAATCTTATACGAAGTTAGAAATAATCAGAAGAGGAGAACCGAAATTCTTGATCAATGTAAAGTTGTGATTACGAAAAATCCTTGCCATCACCCAGGTGACATTCGCACATTTACTGCGGTTAATTATCCACAATTGAGACATCTAAAAGATGTGGTGGTTTTTTCACAGCAAGGCGATCGTCCAGCTCCGCATGATATCAGCGGGTCGGATTTAGATGGGGATGAATATTTAGTTCTCTGGCATGAAGATCTTGTTCCAAACGAAACTGAGAATGCACAGCCTTATGATTATGATGCGCTGATACCGAATCAATCTTTGAATCGACCTGTCGAAAGAGATGATATCAATGAAGCCATACTTCGAATAGCAGAACAAGATGCATTAGGACGACTATCTAAATTACATTTAGCATTTGCTGACAAATTCGGTGTTGACAATGCCGAAAGACCAGCAGAAGGTATTCTATCAACTATTGAATTAGCTGGTGCAATTAGTCAAGAAGTTGATAGTGGTACAACTGGTCACCATCCATTGAGCGAAGATCAAATTCTAAAATTGAATGATGTGCTAAATAATGAACGACCAGATTTTATGGATAATTCTTCTTTCAAACAATATCAATCACCGAATATTCTCGGTACGGCAATAAATCACTTTTCTTGCATTTTCAGTTGTTTGACTGTTTAGGAAAATTATTCCGCGCTTCGAAAAAAACATTACGCGGGTGGAATCAACTTCTTCGATATTATCGCCATCTACGACATTTACAAGTTCAAACACAAAATGAACCGATCGAAGGCACAGACGACGAGGAAGCTCGTTTGAATGACGAAGAAACGAAGATTGAAGTTGACCAATCTCTTCTCGCTGGCACTCATCGACAACATCCTGCATATGAAGCGTGTGCTGAATTTGCTAATAAATTAGTTTCAGTTTATCGACAAGAAATTTTTGAGATTCTTAATCTATATGGTTTGTCACATGAAAGTGATTTATGGTGTCGAAATTCTATTAATGGCGTTACTGGAGAACTTGAAGATACCGCTTATACAGAATTTGAACAACTTGTAAAACGTACAAGAACTCGTTTTTTCAATGAACAAATTATTTATTGTGAGACTGGAAGATGTAATGAAGATACACCAATGGTTGAGTTGTGCAATACGTGTAGACAACGAAAGCGAGCACTGACTATTGCTTGTTATGATGCTTGCTATGGCGGAGAGTACACAAAAGAACAAATGCCGATTTTAAGTTTACCATGGCTATTTGCTGAATCTCTTTTACAAGATCGCCTACAAGAAGAACCACCCATATCGGACGATTTACTGAGTATGGCAATGAAAAAAGCTCTTGATATTATAATTTACAAGAAACGTCGACTTCAATTGTACGAAGGGCCCCTAAAATTTCATATACCGAACGAATGTCTTCCTGGTGAGGCTAATATTGATTTGACTGCTTGTGCCTTTATTGAAATACTCGAGCAATGTATTGGATTCAAAGAGCATCAATGTTGGCCTTGGATAGTTAGTCGTTTTATACGAAATACACCATCATTTACCTTAGTATCAGAACAATTGACACCATGTGACGAATGGAAATTAATCTTACAACATCATAGAATAAAGGATGGTGATATTTACGCTGCTCAGCTCATAAGTATCGAGTGGAACGAAACCACAGATCACGCAATGTACGAGTATTTTGACAATATTCTTGATATCTGTTTTGAAGCTGCCAGAAAATACAACGATATAGGCTATCTCGATGTTAGCGAATATATTATATTATTATTACAAAAAATGGCTATCAATGAAACAATTATCTAGAATGAGAAACATCGTTTATTATTGTACTTTTTTTGAGCATTATATTGTTCAATATGTCTCGTTTAACTCAGAGCATTTAAGAAAGTTTCTCGATTGATTTTTTTTAGACATAACAACATGTATGGTTACAATACTATTCATTATTGTCTGTCGGTATTATACACCATTCTCTGACGAATAAAGCATATTTGAAAATCAAGAAATATATTTTCGAACATTCTCATGATAAAGATAGAAAATGTTTTTTTTTAGATGATCCAACTCTCATCACTTTTCAAGTGTAGACTTCGTACAGTATATCGAATCAAGTCAATTGTGTAGTTCTTCTCATGTGTATTAGGGTGATGAGGATATTCCTTTTAGAAATAGATCAGATTGAAAACGAATTTAACCACACAACCAGTAATCGGTCAGAAATGCTTTTCTCGACGTGAACTTTGTAAAGATCATCGTCACCTTCAAAAAATAAGATTATTATTTATTGAGCATTATAAAGTATTACAGCTAAGCTAATACCGAACACAGATTATATCTCGATGACATATTTGGATCATTGTTTTCTATGACTCTACTTAAGATCCTCTAAAATGTATTTCTGTATTTTAATATTCATTAGAAATTAGAGTTCGATGTCTATTACATTTCAAAAGTGTTGTATACTGGAGAGAAAGCATTCTGTTTTTTTTTCTGTCTATGTAACTTAACTTGAGACGCCTTAATAAGTTGCGTCTTATTTTATAATTCATGTTAATCAAAATGTTTTAACATTTCCAAGTAGAACTTTATTAAATAAATAGTAAAATATATCTCTTATGGACCTTTTACGATAAGGTATGCAGAGTTTTAGCGTCTAACAGTTCAGTGCTGTACACGTGCATGTTGGCTAATTCTCAATTACTGCTAAGATTCACTGAAGCCATGATATAGTCTGTTAACATAACTCAATCGAGTTTATCAACTCATCGTTGTGCTGACTTGACGTTAGCGCCGTCTATGATTCACACTTCACATTTTTATTGGCTGAAATTGGCGTTGCAAAATTGTTTGCTTTCGTTGGATCGAACAGACCTCGAGTAAAAAAAATTGTTTTTTTTTTACAAATCATTTTAATTATTCCAAAAACCCACAATGATGGAGCTCGAAAATATACCACTTGAAATTGATTCGAATAATGAAAACACAATTCTATCATCATCATTACTGGACGAAATAACTTGTGCGATCTGTTTGGATATATTCGAAGAACCAAAACGAACTTCATGCTTACATGTAGCATGTCGTCGATGTTTAGAAGAATATCATCATTCGTGTAAAAATGAAATGGATATTGCCACTTGTAAGTGTTCTTTTTTATTATTATCCCTGATTTAGTATTGATAGAAAAATAATTTTTGGATGTATTTAGGCCCGCAATGTCGGGCGCCATCAATTCTCCTGCCTAATGGTGATGCTAGTTGTCTTCCGCCAGCCATTGATAAAGAACAACTTATAAAAATCTATAGACAGAAACAAGATATCAACAGTAAACACATTGGTATGTCAGAATAGAAAAAAAAAGAGAAAGCTTATGTTTGTTTTTTTGTAATGCAATAAATTTAAGGTCAATGTTCTCTATGTCAAACTGATTCTATTAATCTCTATGGTCGATGCTTTCAATGTCAAGAAAATTATTGTCAAACTTGTTATGGATATCATGGACATTTTCATCCAGCATCTTCACATCTATCTCGTACATTTAATGAAATCCGTCTGTTACCGAACGCTCCAATTGAACTCGATGAAGCAATTTCTTTCACATGTTCGCAACAACACCATAAACGTCCACTTGAATTTTATTGTGTTAAATGTTGTGAATGTCTCTGTTCGGAATGTCTTATTGATGAAACTAAGTCTCATCACCGACAGCAATCTCATACCATAAAACTTCTATCGCAAGTTGCACAAGACAATCGTTATCAATTAGAACGTCTCTATGTAAATAAATTAAAATCAATTCACAAAGAATTAAATGAAACAATCGATTTCATTAGTAAAATTCTCGATCGTGATCAACGATTATTTATGATATTTGATCAATTACAAAAGCAAGAAGATAAAGTGAACGAACTTGATAAATTAATTCAAACATTAGTGAATCATGCACATGATGTCCATGTTGTTTCGTATGAAAAACAAGCGAAAGATCAATTAACAGATATTCTACATGAAAGACCGCCAAGACCAAGACAAGGATTTTTACTTAATGGATTAAGATTTGAACCAATATCAAGTAATTGATCGCTCTCGCTTCTGATTAGATCTTTCTATCATCTAAAACAAACATGTTTTTCAAGTCTCTGATAATATACTTTGTAGTTAAATCTCATAGGAATTTCTCATAAAAGTATTTCATATCGATAATAGCAATATGCCTTGATTCTCTCGAGAATTTTATTTCTACTAGCGAAACGAAGTTGCATTTGTATTAGCTGATTTTATCATTACTTTAGCTGCTCGATATAATTGTCTCATGAGAAATCATTCATTTATTTTAGACTCCAAACGTCTCATGAAAATAATTTTACCATTGGAAATATTGCCAACTGTTAATGATCCCATACCTCAACATGTTGAACACGCGTATCTTGATTTTATTCCGATAAGAAATAAAATTTATTCGAAGCCTGTCATTGGCTATCAAGTATCATATGAACAATCGGATTCTGCATTGTTACGTCTATTCGGTTCATTTATTCCACAACAAATCAAACAGTTTACATGTTCACTTTATTCCTATTCATATGTAAATAGACAATTTGTAAAAGAAGATACTAGTGAATATTTATTTAATTTTCCAAAACAATTTGAAAACGAAATTAAACAAAAATCTAAACAAGACACAATAACTTATTCCGATAACGATGCACAAATAGTCATCATTTATGATTTTAAAGTTGATTGTTTAACAATAAAGCAAATCAATCTACTGTTTGGTTTATCGATAAATGAAAAGAAAAAAGAAAATTTTCTTGGCTATGATTTACAACTAACATCGATACACATTCGTTTATTAGCAAATAAACAAAAACTACTTATCTGTGGTTTAAAATCGAATAATAATAAATTAATCTGTTTTGTATACGATGTAAATACACTTGAAAATCTCGATACATATTCATGTTATATTGGAAATAATCTAAAGCAAATTCTCGATGTTACTATTTGTAATGATGAAAATATTTTTATATGTTTTCAAACAATCGATAGACGATTATATATGTGGTGCGGAAAAGATTATATTGAAGAGATAGCTTTTAGTGGAATTGAACTTGGAGAAAATAAATGCGTGATTGATCGATTAGCTTTAAGTCAACAAATGGATATTTTAATTGCATACAGAAATATGGAACAAGATGATGCCCGCACTTGTTTTGCTATAAGCAAATATCTGATGCCATACTGTGACACTTAACTATTAGTTTTTTTTCTTTCCGTGAAATTGCATATATTTATGGGATAGTTTGTTTTCTTTTTCTGTTAAAAACTAATAAAATATATTCTTTCAGCGCCGCAAACGTTTTTTTTTTATTCTTGTAGCTCTAAATCTACGATAGTATTCGGTGAAATGTCAATTTCATTGCTAGTAAAACTACGAGACTAAGTTTAAGAGAAGACCCATTAAATATGGGCTCTTTGAGAGTCGTTGCATAGCGATGAAGACTTGATGAAACATAATTGATGATTATTTCCTGCACTTCGACCATAAATTGCTTTTGATCACGATTAAATAAGTTTTGTATTCAACTGTAAAAATATTGTAAATCAAATTCAATAAATCTAAATTAACATACGAGCATTCAAATGTATCTCTAGTGGATAAAATTTTCATATTACTTCGATATTTTTTTGGGAAATTATTGCCGTTGTAAAATTTACTCTTTTTTATATTATCAATATGCTTCCTTACGATGTTCATCATGTACAGACAAAATCAAAATATTTCGCTAATCAAGGAGACTTATGAAAGTTTACACCAATGCCACGGAGAGTCCAGCTTTGCACATGCGTTCAATAATAGCAATTATTTATCTTTGGATTTTTGCGACATTGAATACTTACAAATCAATGATGTAATCTGTCAGATTTTTAATGGCTTCCTTTTTACGGTGATAAAATTCCCGATATATATTGATCATGTGTTATATGAGACATTGTTTGACGGCTATCAAAATGATTTGTGGACTTTTGATGATTGAATGAATAAAATATGTTGCTTTTTTTTGTTATCAAATTTGCAGAGCATCTCGAGGTAATTGAGAAAGAATGAAATATCGTTTAATCAGAAGAAAATTAAAAATCTTCATATGGATATTTTATTAAAGAAATCCTATTTTAACTGATCTTACTGTTAAAGTTGAATGCATACGTTTAACACAAACGAAACAGCAAACGACAAAAGAAAATTAATGAAACCTAGTTTTAGAAAGCAGCACCACTAATCGCACCTGTGGCTGCCTGTGGACCGAGAAGAATTGATCGCTGTTCACGACTGATTTGTTCGGCGACTTGTAATAATTCTTTTTGAATGAGAATCGGGAAAACGAGCACACACATAGTTGAAGTTAACCTAGATAGTCATACAAAAGAAATTCTGAGAATCAAAATCTAGTATAGATCCTACCACCAACTTGCTGTACGACCTTTGTTAAAAGCAAGTTTAGTTGCTTCAATCGTCATACGATTTAATGCTCCAACAGCATTTTGAAGTGCTTCTGGAAACATTTCTCTCAATGCAATAATACGTTCAAGAAAAGTTTCATCCTCAAGCAATAAATCATCATCATCACCATCACCACCACTACCTTTATACGCTCTTGTTGATGTAACAACAGGTTGATTGGCGCGAACTGTAGTTTCTTGTGGTCGTGGTTGCTGAATTAAAAAGCCTGGTAAATCTAAATCAGATGCATCATTATCATTTGCTGCTGCTGAATTCATCATCATCATTTCAGCTGTTGGTGCGAATTCAACACCATCGTGTTCTGTTATAAGTCGCCGAAGAGTTTCCTCATCCATCAGTTTTGATGAATTTTTTTTTTAAATCTATGTATCTAAAATATGCATATCGAGAACTATTTATCAATCATAGAATAAGATTTGATGGTTCATCTCTGGATTTCGGCTGTAATAAGTATTAAATAAACCTTTTCCAAAATTATCAAAAAGAAAAACTTCACTTTTTCTGCAGAATTTATCATGGAAACAAAAAAAATAACACGAATTCTCGTCTAAAATATGTATAGATATTTTAATCAAAAATAAAATAAACAAGTAATTCTCCATCCGCAGCATATACATTGGTTTTATGGAAATAAAGCGCAAGACAAAGAGAGAAAACATAGTGAAACGATAGAATACATTGTAAAAATAAAACCGTTAACTTGAAAGACCCATTTAACAGATATTCATCTTTCCCGAGGTTAAAACCGAAATTCTTCGTCACCCAATATCTCGTGCAACGGTTTAGAGCACGGAACAAAAAAAATCAAAAACGATCATCAACAAAACATTTTATCTTTAAAATTCTGCATAAATTTTGTACAGATGAAGTGTTGGTTAATCTGAGAAAGAGACACAAAATTTGAAAGACAAAAAAAAAGCAAAAACCGGGAATATTCATTATTCATCGACTTCTCCTTCTTCTTCTTCTTCATCCTTGCCGTTACGTTGATTGCTGTTACTAGATTTTCGTCGTGCTCTGCGTCTTGTATTTTTCACAAATTTTAATTGTTCCTTGCCATCATCATCATCACGATTTAAATGAGTAAATCGATTTACATCTTCAACATCATCAGCTCCATAATCAGTTGTTGATGCACTACGAGATGCTAATTGATGGTCGTCACTTGCCGGAAATGCTTCACTATCATCACCACCGGATACACTACTATCAGGAAGTTTTTGTTTATCAACAGCTAGTTTTATTTGATGTTCGAGTTCAATAGCTCGAGGATCCGATAGATATCGTTCTGAAAAAGTATGACATAAGAATACGAAGAATATGATGAACAACAAAAATCTTACGTTTATCAGCAGTAAAGCCTGGTGGTCGAAGATATAAATTAATTCGACCATCGAGTGCTAACCGAAGTATATGATTAGCTGCTCGATAAACATCAGGCCGGCAAGCTTTTGCTGTTAAGAAACCACGTTTGATTGACCAAGCTAAAACAACGGTTATTTTTCAATAGTTTAACTATTTTTAAAAGTCGACATACCTTCACAAATATCCATTGCACTATATTTAGGTATTTCTTGTTCGAGTTTGTCGAGCTTGAGAAGTTTAATCATTGGTAACCATTGTGCAAGATAACCAACTGGTGTATAAGGTTCCTGAACTTGTGCTATTGGATAAATTCCAGCGAGAATCTAAAATAAATTGGTATAGGCATTAGAAAAATCTTCAATTTTCTTATTGTTCTAAATTTACTTGTAATGGTCGTTCAACAAATGATGGAAAAACTAAACCGGGACAATCACATAAACGTACAGTCGGTGTCAAATGTATTGTTTGGAAATGTTTTGTATGTCCTGGTGTACGTGATACACTCACGACCTTATGGCCGACAATACTATTTAATATAGACGATTTTCCAACATTGGGATAACCTGTAAAACCTAGTGTTATATGATTCGTTGTTTTATTTATGTTTATCAATGGTGACACATCAATATTTTCATGTTTTAATTTATTATCAATCATTTCATCATTCATACATTGTTGAATGTGTTGCTTCCACGATGATAAATCAATACGAGAACCAACTATTGATGATATACATTCAAATAATGCCAATGGGCCAATTGCATAGTAATTTTTTCGACGCACAATACGTGCCATGACTTGATAATTATCGAAATCTTCACGTGTCGTCGATAAATCTTTTGGATAGGATGTATAAGTAAGAATATGTAATTGAGGAAATTTTTTAGAAAAATAATCTTTTACAGCGATGACAAGTGACGGGGGTACGAGATCAATTTTATTTAAAATAATAATTAACGATTTGTTGTTAATACGTGTAACATTATCGTAGAGTGCTGGAGAAAAATGAAGAACCTGCATAGAATTAAAAAGGATTAAAGTGAAACATGTAAACCCTTTTATGAACTAGCTATGAATAGGATGAAATGAAATAAAGATTACTTACAGCAAAACGTACATCAACAATCATAAGAATGATATCACAAATTTCTATTGTTCGCCATAATTGTCTCCATGTTTCAAGATTCATTTCAAAATAACTTAAACTATTAGCTTCGTAATTTGCAAAAATTTTGTCCAAATAGCTCTAAAATAAACGAGAAAGTTTTATCGATGGAAATTTTATTTTCTTGAAATAGTTTTACATTAAAATAAGTTTGCTCTTGTTGTTCCAATTGTTCCTTGGTCATACTATATGTCCATGCTGGTCGCACAGGCATATCAAGAACACTTCCTGGTCGATAAATTTGCTCGATAGGAATTTCCAATGATTCTTCAGGCAGTTTTTCAAGGGGTAATTGAGCAATTTTTTTCCGCCGGTCAATTTCATCCCGAGGTTCACGTTGAAAATGAAGACGATATCTAATAATTAAAATGTAATTTATCCTAATAAGTTTTTCTATGATATATGTATTAGAATTCATTTGAAAATAAAAATCCATCGATCGTAAAATTCTTTTCGTTAATTGTTGAGAAATAACATCTAAATTTGCGAATGGTTAATCTCCACAAGACTCGCGTTAAACTCTTTCGTAGCAAATTGTGAGCTCAAATATATTAATATTGTTTTCTTTACAGTTCAATAAAATAAAAAGCATGACGTTTTACGCTATTACTAAATGTAGCGGAAAACAATCAAGATGTATTCGAGCATAGCACTCCTAATAGGTTACTATATATGTCAATGTTTAATGTCCGTTAGCGATGTGCTAATAATTAAGTATATCGATATTCTTCACTAGAAGATTGTGACATTTAGTTATGATTATGAAAGAATCTCACCGATTTGGATTATAAGTTGCGCCTTCTTGAACAGGCTGTTCATTCAATCGCCGACGAGAATTATGCGAAATATTTTTATTATTTGTCGCTGATTCATCATCCGAATCTGCCCATTTATCACCTAAATACAACAATTACTCATAGATATTATCGTAAGTCAAATAATATTACCTTGAGCTCGAATTTTTTCTCGTTTTAACTTCAATTGTTCTTTTTTCTTTTTTGAGCTAAATGGTTTCTTTCTTGTACTGCTCATTTTTTCATAAGATTTCTATCATAATCTTTAAAAACAAAATAATATATGTAAATCCAAATAAAAAAACACACAAAACATTCATCTTTATTTTTTTGTACCATTTCATTTAGAAAAACAATAACAGTTAGTATATACTTATAACGATAAGATCAGCACACGAAAATGAACAAAAGCAAAATGTTCGGAAAAAATGATCACACTCACAATCTAAATACGATAATAATAAGAAAAGAAAAAAAGATCTCCGAAATATTCAGATCACAATTATGCTTTGCATTTTTTTTGTGTTTACAAAGAAGTAAAATGATAAATCGATGTCATTCTTGTATAAATTCTTTTGAGACTAAAAATAATTCAGTATATATATATATATATTGTACTGTTTTTTTATCGAGGACTTTGATTGAGATATTTATTTATCGGTGGTTTTTGTCCGATGCAGAATACATTGAAACCAAGACTGATTAGTTGATCATGATCAAGTATAATACGCCCATCAAATATAAATGAGGGCTTTTTCATCGTACTATAAATCAATGGATAATCTAATTTCTAGATAATAAAATAAAAAAATAACAATTTGATATTTACGGAAAGAACTAAGAAAATTCAATTAATAACTACTTTAAATTCATCCCATTCAGTACAAATCACCAGAGCATGAGACTCTTTTGCTGCTTCGTAGGCATCAGTCGCTATTCGAACATGATTACGCACTAGAAATAGAAAACAATTCGAATTTATTTAATAATAATCACGATATTGAATCGTATAGCAGCAGTTTTGAATAATTTGTGTGACTATTTATACTGAAAGCCTACGTTTTGCCTACTGAGTTATTCAATTCATTCGATCTATTTATGCTCATCACGATTAAACTCATCTGAAAAGACACCCGCTGTTATAATTCATATTGAATTTACAACGACGTCTATGTTAAACTAACAGTAAACTTGAAGAATTTGTCTGCTTAGCCAGCAAATATTTTAAATAGCCGATGGAAAATTCCGTAATCGGGAAAATAAATTCCTAAGATACATCGATAGGAACAGATCACGCAGTATTTCGGGGGCAATTTTTTTTATTTTTATAAAATTGATCTTACATTCAGCTTCTGATTTGCCAGTTTGTTCAGATAAATCGAGAAAAATTCTTTGCACTGGCACTTTTGGATCATAAATATGTAATGATGCACCTTCAGCTAGTAAATATCGACATACATAAATACTCGACGATTCTCTACAGATAAAGGAAAAATTCAAAAATCTTTAAATAATAAAAAAAAGGAAACGATTTACCGTGTATCAGCCGTATCTTTTTTAAAAGCAAAACCAAGAATAGCTATTTTTTTTCCACTAACACTTCCAAATAAATTCTGAACAATCATATGTGCGAAACGTTCTCGTTGCCAATCATTTATTTTAATAACTTGCAACCAATATTGTGCTACTGGTTCCAGTTTTAATGATTCAGCTAAATAGATGAGATTGTAAACATCCTTTTGAAAACAGCTACCACCAAAACCTATGCATTTCAATAAAAATAATATGAAAAGTTTTCTTTTTTGCCATAAATTCGTCAATCTATTTACCAACGCTGGCATGCAAAAATTGATTTCCAATACGAGAATCAAGTCCAACAGCTTTAGCCACTTCACTAACGGATGCACCTGTTGCTTCACAAACCGCTGAAATTGTATTAATACTTGAAATGCGTTGAGCTAAAAATGCATTAGCTACCTATAAGAAATCAAAAATTAATAAAAGCAACACAATAGACGAAATGACTGACTAGTTTCGATAATTCCGATGACCATGTATTCGTTGTAAGAATTCGTTCTTTTGGTATCCAATGCTCGTAGACCCATGAAAGCTTTTTGATAGCCAATTCGCCATCAATTGATTCATCACCACCAATTAAAACACGATCAGGCGCTAAGAGATCACGAATGGCTGAACCTTCAGCTAAAAATTCTGGATTGGACAGCACTTGATAGCAAACACCAGGTTGCTTATTTGTTTTTAATATTGTTTTTATCGACTCAGCTGCATTAACTGGTACTGTCGATTTTTCAACAACAATTTTATTACTTGTTGCCGTATGAGCTATTTGTCGTGCGGCTTCTTCGACATAGCGCAGATCTGGTGCTCGCCCCTATTTATTAAACAACATTGAAACCGAATTATTACATGTCTTATTTCAATTCTCCTATGAATGCTCCTTCTCTTTGTTCTCTATCTCACAAAAACAACTCTCTAGAGATTTATCTCAATAATCTTTAATTATTCTACGTGATAAAAACAAAAAGAAACGCACGAATGATTTTGTAAGATCGATAAGTGATTAATAAATTATGTTGATAGAACTTATTCATAAAGATTAATTTCATTCTGTTTTTGTTTATATCCTGAAAAGATTATTTAGAATCTTTTCAATCTAACAATTCTAATAAAATCCGATTCTTTTGTTGTTGTTCTCGTTCGATCAAATAATCAACTTACATTTCCAAATCCATAGGATTTCGTTGGTGTATTAACACTAATAAAAATTAAATCAGCTTCTTGTATTGCTTTTTTCGTATCAGTTGAAAAGAATAAATTGCGATTGCGAATTTTCTTAATAATGTCTTCTAATCCCGGCTGGAAAAAAAAGAACGAAAAAAATTCATTTATTTTTATTAAAACATTCTACTCACTTCAAACAACGGTAAATGATCTGAATTCCAAGCCGCAATTCTATCAGCGCTTACATCAACAACAGTTACTTTTATATGTGGACATTTACTTGCTATTATAGCGCACGTTGGACCTCCAACATAGCCAGCACCTAATAAAAAGCAAAATAACTACTTCAACAATTAGAAAACTAAATAATACCAATGCAACAAATGCGGAATGTTGAATGTTCATCACCATGGCCATTCTTTTCACTATCTAGAACAATGAAAACAATTGTGTTTTTGTTTATATTATCATAAAACGCCTACCTGAAAAAGTCGGCATTCCATCATTATCATTCGACGTCATAGCCGATCTCTTATTAATAGGACAAATAAAAAAAAGCAAATAATCTAAAAGATTAAAATTTAATATTTAATTGTATCAAAAATGTGGAATTCATCGCAATCGATATGCATATAAGGATGAGCTTCAAATGCTAAACAAATTTCATCAATATCAAAACGAATTTCCTTCTGTTTTTCTAATAATTCTCTACAAACACGATGAAATTTATCTTCGAGTTTTTTTGGATCGTTAGGTTGCTTGATAAAACGAATAAACGAGGTATGAACAATATTCGGTATATGTAACGGCGCTTGTCCATCCTCCGGTATACAAGTATCACGTATAGACTGTCGAATATGTTCCATACTATTATGAGCGTCATGAAATAGAAAATATCCAGCAGCTTTCGAAAGCTTTATTGAATCCACTGTAAGAATAATTGGTTTCGGTTTTGCACTTTGTTTTAATTTTGTAAAACATTCGTTCCAATATTTTAAACATGCTTCAGAATCTTGAGGAACTTCATGTTTAAAACTATACAATGTTGAAATTGTTATGTGTAAATAAGCTATTGGATAGAGATAAACAGATTGTTTTTCGTCGTCATCGAAATTCGCTTGCAATTGCTCAATTAATTGTTGATAGAAATTAGCAAACTGAATCGGTTTTGGTTGATGAAATAATGCGCATATTATCAGACCAAATGTTTTTTTCTTCTCATTACGAGCAATTTGTTGTATGAGAGGATCGATTTCGAAGTCCATTGGTTAGAGAGCATACGCTAGCAAATTATTTATGATGGATATCTAGAAATATATATATGGCGCAGATGTACTTCATCAAATAATAACTTTGCTAAGTGAGGCAATCAATTATTTTCATATTCAAGGACATAATCAAGAAGTTTCCAATCGAATAGGACACGAGGCAAATTATTACTTGACAACATATTTATAAATAGTCGTAACGTCTCAAGGTAATAACATATGAATGAATTGCAAATGATCAGCAATAGTTAAAAGCAACCAACGGGTTAAGTTATCGGCAGATGTCATTAGACACGCAAGTCGACAGTCACGACGTAGACGGTATTGTGTGGATGTAGATGTAGTTTTTTTAATGTGAACTTTATTTTACATCTTCAAACAGATTGGTTTAATTTGCATGTACATGACAGTTCCGAGCATTGCCAGAACAGTAAGAAAATACGCGCATATCGTTTCAATCAAATCGAATTAAAAACAGTATTAGATTGATTCTGACTTGTGTCATTGTATTACAGTCAGAAAAATTTTAAATGAATTTAGACAAATAATTCTACACAAGTAGAAAAAAAGAAATAGGCTCACACTTGTTCTTGAAAAGTATTAAGCTTTCAGCAATTTTTCTATGCTTACATATATAAAATCCTCGTCGGATAGATTAGAAGCTTTCAAAAATAAGCAGTATAATATTAGTGGTTAGAAACTAGTTAGGGAAAGTATCGCAAATGATCTATTGTTAAGTGAAATGCTCTCGTTCAGAGCTGCATGCAACACAGGTCAGGGAGCGAATCGGAGATGGGCCTTGATCATTTTTTCAATAAAGTTCGAGATCACCTTATCTACTACATAATCTGCTTAAAACAATAGAACATTACTTTAAATTTAAGTTGTAGTCTTAAGACATTCTGGATGCGAGTCTCTCGCTTCTCTAGACTGGTGCCGTAAGGTGTCATTATAGCTAATAGGTTATTTCAAAAGCTCGAGATGCATCTTTCTTTTTGCTTTCAGTAGTAAAATATAGTGGCGCGTTCGAATTTGAATTTGTTTTTGATTCAGAGAAATCAATTTTTTTCAATTTTTCTTAAATGACTACATTAGTGGAGCCAAATACATCGATGGGTGAACGTATCAATTATCTATCAAACCATTTAATTGTTTTGCCATTAAATATTCACGTCGAATTAAACGATGGTCGTTTTTCACTCACGAATTTAAATGAAATTCGAAAACATTCCGATCTTAGTCTACTATCATCTTCATTTTCTAATATATTCATTGATGAATTACTCTCATGTGTCGAATACTATTGTCATCAAGTAACTGAATTAACAGATTCGTTGCATTTAGTCATTCGATCTTTACTATCAATAACCAATCTTAGTCAAATCATGGATGATCTATCTAGAGGTTCTCAATTGTGTTTAGATGTTATTAAAATCTATCATACCGATCGAATGCAAGCTGTTCAATCTATGCTATCGAGCCCATATCGGGAAGACGCTTGGCATTTTGTTTATGAACTTGATTCAACTATATTTAGTAAATGTCGAATAATGTTAATACGTCTACGAATGTATTTTCTTCTCATGCATCAAATACTTTTCAATGATATAAAACAAAAATCTCCTATGTCAATATCAAATAATTCTAAGCGCCGAAAACATGTCGATTTCAATGTGTAAATTTTTATTTATGATAGAAAAAAATAGTTGAATTACGAATGAATAATAGATGAGAGAGAGAAAAAAAAGAAAAGAAACGAGAACACAAAAAGTAAATTATGAACAAAAAAAGAGAAGAAAAAAATGAAATCAAAACTTTAGACAATCATACCATACAAGATTCACACGATTCAAAAACGCATCAGCAATCGTTAGTTTTTGTTTCCGTCTTAGTTTCCGAAATAGTATATAAAAAACAAAAGAAAAGAACAAGAAGCATTGACAGCAGCTCTAATGAATGATTTTGCACTCCTATTCATATGTGTATATATATATAAGCAAAATCGATAGATAAATAATAAACTATTCTAACGTCGTTTGCTTATTTATTTAGGTCTTTGGTTGTGTCTAATTAACCTTATCATTGGAACTGATGGAATTTTCTTGAGCGAGAGAAAAAGATCGTAGAAAAGAAATAAAAGAACACTGAACTTTTTATAATTGATGCTCGTACAAGCAAAGAGAAAGCACACACACACACACGGAAGAATCATTCAATTGATGTTCATTCACACAGAACAATCTGACATCCACCACATACATATTTATGTTATTTATTGATAACGATTTGCAAATCGAGTTGGTGGTTGTGGACGATAATTATCCGATAGTGGTGAATCGTGACCTCCAGCTGAATCATTATCCTCTTCTTCATCACTATATTGCCTATTGAGATAGAAAATAGGTTGGAAAACAAAAATGAATAAAATTTACCCCTGAATGTTTCCTGTTTTTTTCTTTGCCGCACTTTTCTGCTTCACTTGCTTGACTGATGTTCGATTCCGCTGAAGAACTTGTCCTTGAGAATTTAAGCGATTCTGTTGTAAAACAACATTTTGTGTTGAGCCATAACCTGAATTTGGACTGATTGAGCCTGGTGTTGCATAGTCAGCTAAGATTCCTGATGATGATAATGATTGCGATGGGCGAATGGGTGTTGACATGATAAGATCATTCAATGATGTTGAACCCCAATTACGATTGTGTTCAGTGTTAGCATTTAAGTTTTCATTATCACTATAGGCACGATGTGTATCGTTATTTGGTGGTGACACAAAATGCCGTAATGTTGAATTTGGTGTTGCAGTTTCATGATTGGATACGTGTGGAAAGCCAGTTGACGTATAACGGGTTTGATAATCATTGGTATTGTTTGTTACATTTCTACGACGATTTGATGTTGATTTTGAGAAGTCATATGTTGTTGGTGAATTTGAATTTTCATTTGTTTGAACATCGAGATTATTATAAAGTGCATCGATTTGATCGATCGTATCGCTAAAACCACTCGTATTATTATTGTTGGTATTTGATTGTCGATAATGACGATGCACAATTTGATTAAGTTTATCAAAACTATCATTATTTAATGGTTGATAATTACTAGATTGTTTTGTACGATAGTGTGATGGAAGTCTTGATGCCACTTGATCATTATTTCTATAACGTCGCGCGTGTGATGATGGCGTATTTGAGGATCGAGAATTTACGTTCATATTCAATCCGGTACCACTTGATTGTTCATCGCTTGAATAATTCGGATTGATGCCTTGTGAACGTAATTCATCAGCACTAAAATAACCTGATGAACGATTTAATGAGCGATCCGACGAATGAAAATCACTGTTAATTACAACAGTGTTTCCTGGTCGTGCAGCAATATTTTGAATTGAAACGCGTCCATCTTTTGATGTTGTGACAATTGCACGCGATGCTTGATCAAGTGCAACAACTGTTGGTTGTTCAGGTGATTGTGGTGGACGTTTTTCAATTTCGATTTCAAATTCTATACTCGGACCAAGAAGATTACCAAGACTTCCTGTACGACGTTTAATTTGTCGGCGATAAGCTGATTTCGAACTCGATGGATAACCATATTGATCTTGTTCTTGTTGCTGTTGTCGATCTTGTTCGTGTAAAACTGAATGATATGATGAGGAGCGTGCATGAGGACCTATTGAACTTGAATATCCATTTGCAGTCTCAGAAGGACCTAGAATAAAAACAAAAAAAGTTTAAAATCTTTATTTTGTTTTCGAAAATCATAGATTGAGAGATCGGAATGAAAAACAAAAGATCATTAGTATGCACAGAAGCTTAAAGAATATACACATATAGATATATAGATATAGATATTTGAGATGCGTTGGTTGCACCCAATCAGAAGGTAGTTGCGGTGCAGAAAACACGAACCTGAATTCGCTACGATAAAATAATATTTATATCAAATGCGTAAAATAAATTGAATAGGAAAATAATATTTGAGAAATTTTGTTTTTTATTTTCCTTCTCTATGAACGTACTTGTTCGTGATCGACTTTGTCGTTGTTGATAGTCTTGATTGATGATTGTGGATGGCCGATAATTCGAAGAATAAATACGTTCATATTGTAATTTCGCCAGTTGATTTTCTTCTTCTTCTTGTTGTTGTTGTTTTACTCGTGCATTAAGTTCCGGTTCACTGATTCCATGTCTGATTGTGGACGCAATTGGACTTGGTCTCATGCTATTACCATTTGATAATTCAGGTACACGAACAATGGCAATGATTTCATTGGGTGTATATTTACCAAAGGTAACTTGATTTTGTGGACTTAATGATGTTATTTCCATGTTACGTGGACCAGCACTTAATGTACGAACGTTTGAACGAGATGTTGAACTTTGAAGGAGACTATCTTGTGAACGATCTCGTTGTATAGGTTTAAACCATGTTTCTTCAACACGTATTGGTTCTTCTCGTATGACTGTTTTTTTTGTTGTTGTTGTTGTTGCTGTGGAGGGTAATTGATATGATATCGTATCGGATTGTGGAGAATCGTAACGATGCTGTTGAAAATTATTGTCACGAAAGGTTTGTATTTGTTGACGAATTTCATTTGTTGGTGTGTAAGTTGATTCTAGTGGTGAACGAATTGGTATTGGTGAAGCTGAAATAAAAAAGAAAAAGATTTACAAGAAATTTGTCTTTTTTCAAGACGAAAAACAAGAGCCTACCATTCGCTTTTGCTGATTCATAATAGTGTGTTCGATCATTTAAGAGAAATCGTTTTGCTGGTGTAACGACACGTGATGCTTCATCGGACGATGTTTCTGGTGAGCGTATTGGTGGAGCAGCTGTTGTTGTCGTTGTCGTTGTTGTTGTTGTGGTCACTTTTTTCGGTGCACTTGGACTGCCTGACCGTTCCGTGGTCGTTGTTGATTCTTTTATTTCATGTGTACGTTGTACTTGACATTCGACACGTGTTTCAGTTTCAATCGTTTCAATTTCATCGACAATCAGTGGTCTTGTCAATATGGTACGTGATTGAGTTGTGATTGGAACTTTTCGTTGTGAACTTATTCCGCTATGATAATTAGCAATATTTTCATAATCGGACGGTGGTGTTGCTGTTATTTGACGTCGAATAGCGCGTGCTGGTTGTAATGGTTGCTGCTGCTGCTGCTGCTGCTGCTGCTGCTGCTGCTGCTGTGGTTGTGGTTGTTGTTTTAATTGATTATATTGATCAGGAGAAATAATTTCTGTATCATATCGATATGTTGATCGTGATACAGAATCGTCTCCGCCATGAATTGTTGTTTGATCTGTATCCGAAGCTTGTCGACGACCATAACGTGAACTTAATGTTGTTGTTACTGAATCACCATAGATACCACTATCACGTGTTGTTGGCGTACGATTAACGTCGTCGTTCATGGACGATGATACATTATTACGCCATGATGATGAACTTGCGGGTAAACGTTGACTTGTAGCTGTTGAATATTCAAATATACCTGAATCGGAACCCATAAGGCCTTTATGTGGATCACGACTTGGTTTCATTGTTGTGCTCGTTACTGGAATTTCTTGCGATAAATGTGGAGAAAGTTCTATCAGCAGACCTTTACCTAAGAAACAAAGCAAAATCATCTTGAGATTAACATGTAAAGTACGATGTTGTTAATCAAAGGAAGTGTTCTATTATGGGACATGGCTTTTTATCGTTCTCTCTATTTAATCCGCTTGAAATACAATAGAAACGCTGATATAACCTCTCAATAGTCTATTGTTGAACATCAATTTTTTTTGATATATTCTAAACAAAGCTATGAGCACAAACCTTTGCTTGTCGGTACATGTGAAAGAATATTTTCCATATTGGATTCCGTAAATGATGATTTATTTCGTTGACTAAGATATGCTGTATCATCCATTTGTTGTGATGTACTTTGTGAGAAATCTCTTAAACGTGTTTTTGGTGTACGTCTTCGTATGTCGTACTGTTGTTCTTGTTGATTGGCTGGATCACTTAATTCATCTTCACTTTCATGGCCAGCATCTTCATCCTGTTTTTGTTTTACTGATTTTGGTGTACTTTGATAAATAGGTGGTGATGCACCACTTACGTCAGAATCAATCGATGAGATTATACGTTTATCTTTTGCTGGTGAATCAGTTGATATTGGAGGAACTTGTAGTTGTTCAGTTGATTTTGTTGTTGAAGATTCAAACGAAGATTTAATTGTTTCGTATCCTGTACGACTGAGACGATCGGCTGGTTTCGATTCGTTACTTTGAATATGTGATATACGTTCTGTAACGCGTGATGGTGCAGTATGTGTTTCACTCATACGACGTTCATGAGTATCGAATTCATCGATCTAATTAAAAATAAAATCTCTTCGAATAAAAATATTTCATATTCTCAAAACGACAATCTATGTGTGTCAGCGTAGTTGACTTTGACGTTGTTCGGATTACTCTTAGTAGTATTTTTAAAATGTGATGTTTTTTAAATAGAAAAAACAAAAACAAAAATCACTCCACTATAGGTTTAGTAAGTGTAAAAATCAAAATGATAAGACAATTATCTCATGATATATATTCCTACCTGAAAGATAGATAATTTTCCATTGAATACTTCATATTTTTCTTTCTTATATATCATTTTCTCATTAAAATTTTCGTCTTGATTAATTGATCTGTCTGTATGTATGTGAAGCTCACTACTCAATCTTTGTCTTCGGTGTCGTGTGTATATGATGGATTAGTTTGTGAACAACTACAATATTGTACGATTCATGTCTTTTTTTTTTCTCTCGTTTTTAACGATAGAGTCAAATATATGTATTATATATGAAGTGATTTTAAAATTGTGAAGACAACAAAAAGATACCATCACCGGATAAGTATGATTTCAATACATACGATATGTGTTGGTTGTCGACCACTTATACGATAAATTCGTCTTTGTGGTACAACCGTAGTCGATGTAACTTGCTGCTGTAAAAACGATGATGATTAACGAATCATAATCTTTTGAGCAAATTGATTTTACTTCTCCCCCATTTATGATTAGTATAAGACAGAAAAGACAAGGGAAAGCAAAACCCATGCGCACACTCAAGAAAGATAAGCAATTATTGACCCAAGGCAAGTTGACTGAAGAATTATTTTTTAAACGTCAAGAGCTATTTTGTTATTTCTTACCGATCGACGATTTGTTGATGTCCATCCTTTATTGGCTTGTTCTTGTTCTTCAAATATTCGTCGTCGTTGTTCAGTTAAGCCAGTTGTGATAGGTGATTTCGGTTTTGATTGATCATCTCTGATACTTCCACTCGTGACTGTGGTTGTTTCAAATGCATTTCTTAATGCTCCAACACGACCATAGCCTGTTCGATCAATTTTATTGTTGGTTGAATCATTTGAAGTGTCGAATTGCGGTTGTTCAAATCGTGCACGACGTTCATCAATGATAGATGATGACGATGATCGTTTCGGTGGTTTCGGCCGACCTTCATCGGTGCGTGATGTTGAAATAAATTTCTTCGATGTTTCACGTGCTCGAAGAGACTAGAAAATATGATCAAGATTTTTTTTGATAAATGAAAAAAAAAGCTTCATGAAAGAAAAAAAAGAAGCAGAAGTTCGATCCTTGAAAATGTAATAAAGTTAGTCGTTCACACGATGCAATAACAAAAAAAAATGTAAAACACATATCAGTGTGTTGGCATACCATGCAAACGTGCAAGAATCACCTCTCGGTTTCTCAACTTACATCGGCGAATACCAATCTTTTATTTTCCTGTTCATCTTCATCCGATGTGGACGAAAGATGATAAATTTGCTGACGTAGATGTTTATCAGGTGACGGTCCGCGAGTTACACGAACGAGAATTTCTTTGACAGCATGTCTTGATGGGGGAGCTGCTGTCAATTTATTTTCTTCACTTAATATTTTATCATGTCCAGATTTATTTATTTGCGTATCTTGAAATGTTTGTTGAATATTTGTTGGCTCGATAATTACTCGTTGTGCTGTATAATTATCATTGATTGGCTTTCCAAGCTGTGATACATAGGGAATTAGGGGAAATTAAATAGAAATATATTTTTTTCGCATTTCTTTCTTTTTCGTCTATCAAATTCTCCTTTACAAGAAACTGTTAATAATGAATAAAAAAAAAATCGCTGTGTTTCTCTTTATTACCTGATCAAATTGATCGTCATCTGATGTTGGTGCATAGATTTGTTTCATTTTAGATCGCCAATCGGAGTCTCGTCTTTGTCCAGCTTGATCAACAATGGTTGTCAAACCTTGATATGTACGATCACCAGTTGTCACATAGGCATCTGACATATCATCTTCAAATAATCCACGTTGTTGTCGTTGTTGTTGTTGCTGTGTGTTAATTGCAAATCGTTGGTTTTGACCTGATGATGAACTGTCATCAGAATTCTTCTGTTCTAATTCAACATGATATTCTTCGCTAACAAATTCTTCGTTTTGCTGTTGTCGACGATCGGCAACATGTACTGATGGTGTTATGATATTTGATATACGATCATAAGTTGATGGTTGTTCTCTGGATATTGTTACTTGACTTGTCGATGGGATTGTTGTATATTGACCTGGGCGTACGCGGTCATAATTTGCAGATGATGTTGATGGTGAAGTTGTTGTATCAAATTTTCTATCAAAACGCTCTGCATTAGCGATACATTCGATGTCACGAGCAAGTTGCGAATCATAAACAATTTCCGTTGTATAAATATCTTCGGATGACCAATGACGATTTCTTGGTGTAATTTCTAAAAGAAGTTTCAAATCCAAAAGTTCTTAATTAAACGAGACAAAAAAAAACTAAAGACTCAAATATTTACCAGTGATTACTTGACAATCAGGTGATATTGATGATCGTATGGAATGAGGAGGCTGTGATATTTCCTCATACACAGGACTTTCTGGACGTTCAATAGAAACAATAGGTGTTTGATTTGGATCCACCGAGTGAGCTGGTACACGTCGGAAAACTTCTTTAACGATATCATAACTTTTATGTCCTTTGATACGCTCATTTTTCTCTTTATATTCTTCTTTGATGACATCACTTTTAACACGTGCACCTATTGGATCAATTCTTCTACTCAATAATCTATTTGTATTTTTATCGAATTCTTCGGTACGACGACAACGAAATTCTTCACTCCATTCTTCAAAAACAACTTCTTCACTTGACGTGGATTTTTCATCTTCACTAACATGCTGCACAATAGTCTCACGTATGAGAACATCACCTCCGAGATCTTTGATTGGACTAGTTGAAGATGGCACTAAACGTGCACGTTCAACATCAGGTTTTTGTTCAGTTGGTAAGCGAGCTGGTGGTAAATGATCCGTTTGATCTCGTGATCTTGATGCAGCATAATGAAGCTCATTTGGTTCATTGTTAAAAGGAATTCTAGTAGTTTGATATTCAGTAGAATCAATCATTATTGGTTGTTGAATAGCCGGACCGGGGCGTGATGGACGCACTGAATAATAATAAAGCGAAAGAAAAAAAGTTAATTGAAATTTACTTATGTAACTTAAAGCTAAATCAATAAATGATTTACTCGATCAATTGTTCTATTTGAATATTTAAGGAAATATTTCATTAAAAATCAATGTCTTGCTCTTCTCACTTCTATGTATACAAATATTCTATTTGGTTTATAGATTATCTAAACTGAATTTCTATCGTTTGAGATACGTAGAATATGTACATATATGCATTTATTGAAAGGAGAACCCATACAAACGAGCGTCTCAGTCGAGATATATGAGAAGAGAAGAATACAAAAAAAAACCAAGCGCGAGAGAGAAACAGGGGAGAAGCGAATACTTGAAAATTTTTCAATGGTCGATGATGAAGTTATCATGCTTCGTTCAAGTTGTTGTTTCGTAACTTAATTGACTCATTACAATAAGCATAAAGTACAAAATTTAATCATCACAAGTTTTTTATTTCGTCTAATTTTATTACTATAATAAAAAGAAAAATTTAATATCTTACTTCGATATTCTACAGTTAACTTAATTGAACTACCAGATGGTACAATAGTACTTGCTTGTAATTCAACTGTTTTTTTCATTGGTACAATTAATTATATTAGTTTAAGAACAAAATGCAATAATAGATATTTCAAGTTCTTGTTGCTTTTGAATCTTACAAAAGCAAGAAGAAACGATCGTGTAAACGTAAGAAGTACAATAATAATAATTACTACTACTACTACTACCACTACTACTAGCAGTAGGAGTAGGAGTAGGAGTAGTAGAAGAAGTTGTTCACCGTTCGAGAAATAGCATAAAAGAATCGTGTTTATATAATGTAATAATAAAAAAAATCGCTTGTCGTCTTAAAATTATTGACAGAAGACAGAATAGAGAGAAAAAAAGCCGATATATATTGTATAGAGATATTGCGATTACATGTATTCAACGTTTGTTTTTTTTATACTAAGAAGAAGAACTAAGATGTTGTGTCTTCTTCAATAGGTTTTTATATTTCCATATACCTATCGCCGATTGATTACCTTTGCTTTCTTTTTATTTCTGTGGAATTTAATAATAGGAGAGAAAAAGAGAGTGAGAGAGATGGTTGTTATGTTTGGCAAAGTTCAAAACTTTCTCTCTCTCTCTCTCTCTCTCTCTCTCTCTCTCTCTCGGCCAGTCATCATCGAAATGAAGCTATTTCGGCTTGTCGTCTCTTATTGCTTCTCGCGGTTTTTTTTCTCACTTAAACAAGCGTCATATACAGGCAAACAAGAACTAAAACATCGTCCAAAGGAATAATGACGATATACGAATCATTTAGATTGTTCTGGTTCTCTTTTCTCTTTTGCTTTCGCTCTGTTTTTCATGGCATTAACCGTTCCGCATTTCTTACACAAACATTGCTCATTGATACTTCTATATTTTCACCGGCAGGTCTATTAAAACACATTGTCGCGTCTCTAGTATAGTGGGACGCAAAGCCAATCACATTACCATAACTATAAGCGCATTATTTTTGCGTTGTTTTTGTGTATATGGAACAAAGAAAAATAAAGAACAGAGAAAAAAAAGGTTGAAGGAAAATGTTTGGTTTGTCTCACATTCAGTTACTTAATGATCAATTTCTAATAGGCCTGTTCAATGCTTGCATAGAAATAGAAGTATCAAACTTGCCATTCATTTATGTTGTGCAAGTTCGTCAAGGAAACTCTGTCAGATATTCTTAAATTCTACATATGCAATGACCTTGCCTCGATGTATAACGTCATTTGAGCTGGAGCATTTTTCTTTTTCTATGATATATGCTTATAATGAAACAAGAAGAGCCTTGAGTTCTTATAATAATGATGATGATGATGAAAAACTCAAGTCGAAGTACAAAAAAGGAAAAGAAAACGGAGTAGACGCAGTAACCTTTAAACATATTCATTTTCCGATTTGTCTACTTAACTGAAAAGAATCTTCAAAGTATTGTCAAAACAACAAGAAATCTCTTTACGAAAAAAAAAATGTTTTTTTTAAAATTCTCATCAATTGTTCAGTGTCAGAGGGTTCATTCTGAACCAAAGAACTTATACTAAACTTAACAAACGTCATGTAATCCTTTCTTAAACATAGCAAGTACCATCTTGTTCAATAGTAGTCAAAAGGAAATTCAATACTGTCACACATACTCTCTCTCTCTCTCTCTCTCTCTCTCTGTGTCCCTATTTTCTAACACGATGATTTAACCATCACTACTACGAATAATACATCATAGCAGATAAAAAAGCAAATTGTCTTTAGGGATTATTTTAATGGAATAAACTCTAAGTAAATAACTAAATGTGCGATCACGTATACAAAAAAAAAACATCGTCAAACTGTTCTCAATTTCAATAGGTGTCTGAATGATTATTATGAAAAACGAAACGACTACTTAGCTGTCTTGATTGCGTGTATTTTAACAAATAGAAATGTCTAGAGAGCGAACTCAAGTGGAGTAGCAAGAAAAAAAAATAATAATCACCATTTTTAGTTTAATTTATGCTTGATGTTTTACAATTTGACATTTTGGGCGTCTATTCATATGGTTTTCTTTATTATTTTTTTATAACTTTACACCAGTAATATTCATCAACGATGATAAAGAAATAGAATATCTTACCTTCTTACTTCTCTTCTGTGAAGAAAAAACCAACGAAAAAGTCTATTCAAAGAGGCAACAAACCTGTTAACGTCATGCAAGTTTTATAACGAACTGAAAATGAGGACAGCACGTTTGTTTCGTTCTTAGCTTACAGAAGAAAAATGCCGAAATTGATAAGCATAAAGAAACCAGAAAAAAAACGAAACTCGATTATTTTTTTCAAAATAACAACAAGCACATTCCTTTCCTGTGATAGGTATTTTTATTTTCGCTTATTGATGCATACCGATAGGTATGCTCTACTTCGACAAAAAATACAACACTACGAGCAGTGTAATAGCGTATTATATCAATAATGTTCTCGGCTTCGTTGAAAAGCTAACAACTCATACACATTTTTATGCGTGTATGGATTTCTCTCGCTTTTTTTCTCTCGAAAATGTATGCCGATCGCAAACATGTAAACTATCGTTTTCATAACGATTTTTTGAATGATTATTATTACAACTACTAAGAAATAGACGTATTGTTTTTTCCTTACAGATGAATCAGAGACATAGACGAGTAAATGTTGCGAATATAAGTAGAGATTCCTATGAAAATTTTTCTCTTACCTTTACGCATAGAAGGTGTAGGCGTGGCTTGGTTTATTACGACATAGTGCTGTTCGGATAACTGTTCTGCATCATCAGGTTGTGTCGTTTGTCGAGCTCGAACTCGTGAATCTAATGATGGTGGCAATGGTGTTGATTCGATTGTAGGATGTGTTGGTAATATTTTTACTTCTTTTGAATCATGCGGTATGTATGCCTGTAGAATAGATACACATGTTTAAGAATCATAAATATAAAGGCAATGAATTACTCCGTTGAAAAATCAACAGAAGCTTCTTTTCTTCGTGAATGTGTATATGTTAGTATGAAGTCCTTCCTCTTTCTGTGTCGGTCCTCTTCGTTTTTATTTTAATGTTTTACAATCCAATGACCTTCTTAATTTATACTACTTAGTCACTTTCTTTTCTTCTACGCATATTTAATATACAACCGTATACTAACAAGACTGCTCGACCGTTGAATAAAATTTGTATTTATATAGAAAGATCACTATCAATCGTATCGACTCGTATTGACTGCTCTTTTCAAAAGCGAAGAAAAAAAAACATGAAAAAGCACAAGTGACAAATACAAAAGAAATCGGATTGTGTCTCGACTATATAGACAGATAAGGCAGACTAATCATTCTTTTACTACTCAATCTATGATGATGGAGAAGAAGATATAGGTTATTTGTTCTTTGGCATGAACAGTATGACCCCTTCGCTCAATTCATTGCCTATAAGTATAATGATGTTGGCATTTAGATGGGTTCAATATATGTGTATATGTAGCAATAAACTATCATTGCTTCATCTCTCTTTTTTTTATGCATGCACGTGTGTTTGTTTGAACGAATAGAATGAACGATGGACACTAATCGGGACGTGCATCCTTTTAATTGTTTCATTTCGTGATAAAATGATAGTCCATTAATATCTATGTATATACGTATGTTTTTATTTACTTTAAAACACCTTACATTCGACTCATGGCCTCGAGAATTCTATTTCTATCACGACTAAATTACAATTTATAGATCAAACTAGAAAAAAATTGTTCGATTCAAAGAAAAACAAAAATAGACTTGTCATAGGTGCTTACTTTATCAGAACGTGTCTTTTTTCCTGGTAGATGTTCGCTGAGCAATAATATTATGAGAAAACTAGCGGTTTTTGTCATGCTTTTATAGATTAGATAAAGGGTAGAGAGAGAGAGAGAGAAAGAAAGAACATCAAAACATGATACGGTGCAAGGTGAAAGACAAAAACACTACGAGTTTACGCAGAAGAGTAATTTGGTTTCAAAAGAAAAAGTTTTGTAATAAAAACTAACATTGATCTAGTCTTTGAAAAGCTAAGTCATAAAATAATCATCATAAGAAGAAGATATTAAATATAAAATCAAATGAACAAAGAAGAGTGACCAATAAACTAAACAGTGACAAGCATGCAAAATGTTTTTTTAAATAAAAGCTAAAGCATGTTGATAGATTGATTAGTAAATAGCAAAGCAAGAAGCAATAGCATGCAAACAAACAGAGCAAGAGGTTCGAAGTTTCTTAGAATAATACTTCATGTCATTCTACATCGATTGTCTATAAGTAGGTTTATTTGATCGTTCGAATAGATAAACATGCATGGAGGCGTCCCTTCTTTTCTTTATGCTACACCGGCATGTATTACCTCGTTATGGATTGTTGTTGTTGATAGAATAACATCCGGTAAAAGACTTGTCGTCGAATGATCATCGTCATTTTCGATGATTGTTGGCGGCTCATCAATTTTAATGTCGAATGTTTCTGATAATGGATTTAATGGTTGTATATGATAATGTTCGATATATGATGGCTGTTCATATTTATAGGATAGACTTTTTAGTTGTTCATCTTCATAATCATTTTGATGATTTATTTTTGCACACAAAAGTATTTCTTGCTCAGTTGTTCTACATTGATTTGATGATAGACGATCATCATCATCATGAATAGTTGGTTCGAGAAAATCCGGTGCAGAAATACTCGAATATTGAGTATGAAAACTTATTTGGTAGATTGATATTTCGTTAACAGTAGGTAAATAGAAATGTGCAGGTTCAAAAAATGTATTTAAAAGTTCTTGTTCATTTTCATCGAAATTATATAACAATAGATTATCGTCATGTTCAAGTTCATTTTCTTTTGCACGATGAATATATGCATTATGATTGTTTTCAGCTTGATCAAAGCCAATTGTTAATAGGAAATCTTTCGCCGGATTAGTTTGTGTTCGTTTTTCATCGGCTAGCGTATCAAGTAAATAATCAACAGGTACAATCTGTACTGTACCCGTTGACTGCGATGGTAAATTAGGTGTTATTGGCGTAGCAGTATATATACGATTAGTGCCGATACTAGTCGTTGTCGAAGTCGTATCAATATCTTTATCAAGCGAATCAGTTTCATAGTCACTAGTTGGCGAACAGTGACTAACGATAAGACCTGCGGCTATATGATTATTATCTGATTCATCATCGGTAGTTTTTGTAGTTATACTCTGTGATGTCTCGTCTTCGAACCTCTCATCAATAGAATAAGCATAATTAGCAATAGCGGCAGCAACACCCGAACACTTATTATTAGTATTCAACTCTACCTGTTGTTGAATAGTCTCAATATTTTTTTCTACGGTCCATTGTTCAACTAATTGCTCATCGTGTGGAAGCATCCTTGGATTTATCCATTCAGTGGGTAATGCACGACTAAAAAATGGATGTTTTTTCTCGTATCGTTCAATGGCACGTTGTGTACCATCGCTTGTTGATCGTATTGATGTTGCATACGATAGTGATACTTGATCAACTAATGGTAGATGTTGTTCTGGTTCAAGACTTTCTTCAAAACGATTTAAAAAGGAATCCATATCAACGATCGATGATGTATCGGAATGTGCAGGTCGCACACGAACCTCAATATCAATAGTAACTGGTCGTTGTTCAAATTGTGTGGGCTCATTTATTTTTGAATCAGCGTGTGTTGTATGTATTCGATCAATATTGTTCGATTGAATTGTCAATATTTGTGCATAATCATATTCATGCGTTGGTGATAGTTGTTGTTGTTGTACACGATAGACTGGTTTTGTTTGATCGATGTTTGTCGATGACACAAGAGGTATTTTATCGGATGTTTCTATTCGAACATTTTCATGTAAAAGGGGTACTTGTTGAAATTCGCCTACAAAATTATCGGATTCTTTTAATGTTCGCTCATCGGCTTCCGATGTTATCAATGGTAGATGTCGCGGTGAGAGTAGTTCAGGCAGAATTTGAACTTGTTGTTGTAGATGTTGATTAGAAAATTGTTGATCGGATATTTGTTCCCATGCGGAACTATGTTCTTGATTATCCTGTGCATAGTTCAGTGTTAGAAAAGCGGTAGAACGAAGAGGATTTTCGGGTAGGATGGGCTCATGTCGAATAAGTAATGAACCATCGGATAGTTGTGATGATTTTTCAGTTTGAACTTGTAGATTTTGTTGTAAATGTTGATATTCATCAGAGAGTTCATTATCGAAAACTCGTTGCCATGGCGGATTTACTTCTTGACTATGTTGAGCATAATTAAGTGTTAGAATAGATGTGGAATGAATAGGATTTTCTAAATGATTTGGTTCATTTAAATTTATATTTGGTTTTTGTGGTTGTTGCGCGAGAAGAGAATCATGTGACAACGATGATGGTTGTTCATCATCGAGTTCTAGATGATTAATTATAGGACGACATAGAATTAATTGATTAGCTATGGAGTGTTCGGTAGGTGGTGATTTAAAATTAGTTTGATTATTTAATTCGGCTTGTTCATTGGAATGGGCGTGTGGAAGTGATTTGACATCAGTTTGTATTGCTACTTCTTGTGGATCATTGTCAATGTATTCATAATGTTCACGTGATAAGATTGGTCTTGGTTTAGTTATTCTTGCTTGTTGATATTCAATATTAGGTAGAAGATTTTCTTTAGCAAGTTGTAAATCCGGTTTCGTTTCGTTTGAAAGAAATTTAGTTTCTTCATTTTTCCAATCGGTATCGTAAATAATCGTTGGTACACGATTAGCTTGTTCGATTTTTTCAAATCTATTTTGATGATCATTACTTTCAATTACTTGTGTAGCATGCTGTTCATTTACAGCAGTGGTAGCTGTAGCCAGCTCTTCGAGCAGCAAAGCTTGGCGATTTGGCTCAATAAGCTAGAAGAATATATATGATGCTTATATTGATTTCCGTGAATATATAAAAGACATGTAATTGGTATAGATGAAAAAACGTAAGCACGAATAATTTAAATGAGTATGTATGTATGTATACAACATCGAAAGCAAGAAAATAAGCTGCGTTATTAATGTGAAATTATATCGATAAATTTTTCTTTTTCTTTTTTTGCTTATGAGACCCGTCACCATATGCTACTACTTTAAATTGTTTGTCATATTTATATATATATATATATATGTAAAGCTAATCGAGCGTTTATTCAGTTATTCGACTTCATACACTTACCTCTTTGGGAGCATTCAACGGTTGAATAGGACCAATAAATGATGCGCGTCCATATGAAACATCAGTTATCCAAGATGTTTCAAGGTGTACAGCCATTGGTTCTTCATCAATATCCTTTTATAACAAAACAAAAAAGCAACTATGTTTATTAGTTATCTATGTTAAATTAAGGATGTTTGGCGAAAAAATCCCCGGTTTTTTTTTGTTTTCGCTAGTACACATCGATATTGTGTATTATAAAGAAATGAAAAGATCAAATTATCATTTTCTTTATAAACACAATTTCTATCGCTTGAGGGTTGGTGTTGAAGCGAAAAATCTAACTAATAAAAGGAAAATTCTTGTTGCATTTAATATTACCACTGATGTTTGTTGTTGTTGTTCATGATGTGTTAGTATTGGTGGATGTTGATACAACGGTCGTGTAATTTTATCAAGAGAGCTGGTATCATGTCGATTATAAGTAACCTTGGCTGCATCTTGTGATTGTTGTTTCAGTGCGTTATCAGAACCGAACGATGATGTTCGAGATAATGAAATCATATTTGCTTCACCTAAATTTATCGATACATGTTATTATAGAGATCGAGTAGATTATCAGAACAAAATTTTAATCTGGTGGGAAAAAAAAACCAAACTGAGCGAAGCAGAGCCACTCACGTAAAAATGAAGAGGGTACAGTAATATAGAGTTCAATAGTTGGCATTTCTGTTCGTGTGTTTATTTTAAATAGTAGGCTATGAAATGAAATAAATATTGATTGTTTTATGCTTACCATAATTCAATGTAGGAACACTTGGCAGTGGTTCACGAGGAATATCAGCTGGCGGATATGTTTTAACAGGAACTGGTTTACCCCATTTTAATGTATTTTCTGTAGGTCGATTTGTAACTTGATTATCGAAGTCAATATTTGTACTTGTTAAATATTCTCTACCAGGAGTTCTATTTACTCTAGTTTCTTCGACAGTTTCGTAGATAACTGGTTCATCTGTATGTTGCAATGATTGAATTGTTTCAATTGGATCATGCTCAATCACATAGGTATGTTCAGTTTTAAGATTAGACGATGGAATATTAATTGTATTTTCAAATATGTTAATTTGATCAGAACGAACAGGTTGAATATTTGTATTTGGATCGATTTCGACATGACGTAGAAGATCGTATGCACGTATACATCGTTGATAATAATCATCGCCAATTAAATTTTCTAAATGTTCTTCATCCGAAGGATCTAATCGGCTCATTCGCGATGCATTTAATATCAAAGGTTGTTCACTTCCTTGTGATGTATTCAATGAAACAATACCACTATCAGTGAGCATTTCATTTAATTTATTTCGAGTATATTGATGAATATTGGCTGCAGATATATTTTCAAATATGGCAATATCTTGTTCAACTTTAGCCATATGTTCAGGTACAGGTGTTACTAATTGGGTTTGTTGACGTTCTATTTCTTCGTGAATATGACGAGTTACTTGTTCATTTGGTTGATCAGATAATCGATTGATACTAGCAGCAGCTAATAAAACTGGTCGCGGATCAATAGTATGTTGATCCTGTGTTTGTTCAGGTGTAATTATAACCATAGCATGATCATAGTCACGAGAAGGTATTTGTAGACGTTGAGCGTGGTCGGCTAATAAATTTAATTCGGTTATTTCACCTTGATTGAGCGTTAAGATTGGTTTAATATTAGCCATAGATAAATCATGATTTCCTGAGGCAGTTTCAACACGATCAGCATGACACACCCGAATACCTTTATTAGTTGCTGCTGGAGTATAAATTTTTGCTGGAGAACGAGGAGGTGATATTATTTGAGTTTGTGATGTTACAATCTTAAGTTAAATTTAACAAAAATATTTCAATAAAAACGACTGGCAACTGTTAATATTTAAAAAAAGTAATTTATAAGCATGAGAAGGACTTCATTCTAGTATCTGTTTCTCTCTCATATGTGTTATTATGTTTGGATACTATCTATTGAACTCAGTAGAGCCCAGCGGGTCTGAAATTTTTACTTAGTAAGACCTGATCATCAGATCTCAACTGACAGAAAAATTCGAATTTAATGATTTCTTTTTAAATTTTTAGTTTGTTTTATTCAAAAAAAAATGTAAATTGATTTATAAAGAGTATTTGTTAGCTAGTAAAATATATAATTAAATTGTCCTGTTTTTTTTTAATTGGGGGGAGTTCGTTGTTCCTTAGAAAGAAATTCATCCCATTTAGTAAAATGGCATATGGTTTTATTTATCATGAACTACTTGATGAATAAAAGAAATAATAAAGAACGTTTGCAATTCGTGCTTTAATTCTTTCAACAGACGCTTTTGATTAGGAGTAGGTGCTGCTTGAACTTAATTATCGCGGAATTTCTGTCGGATCACTTAAATATGGTGTGAAACACGCTACTCTTCAAACAAAAAAAAATAATAAAATAGTATATCGCATGTTTGAAGCAGCAATTAGAATCAGGTGTTAGAAAAATTCATTATGAATTTTAAGAATACCCTTAAATCCCGAGTTCCAAAACAAAATTGATCAAAGCAGTCAGATATCGGGTTCGAGTCCAGCTATTCCTGGACCCGATGGACTCCAGTATTCAGTGATATTAAACATTTCTCTAATATGATGTTTCATAAAGTATAATTTTAACGCTTATTTTACCTGTGTTGCTATTTGTAGACTTGTATTATAATCAGCATTTCGGAAAAGTACTTGTTGTGAAGTAGCTAATGCACGGTCAACAAGACCATCTGGAGTTGGTTGAACAATATTACTATGAGCTCGTTCCTTTCGAATATATATTTCAGTACGATCGACAAAATCAGGAGGTGCCATTGTGGTAATATGAGCAGTATCATATCGTTCGATTTTAATTGGTACTCTCGGCGCGGATACGGGTTCAAGAGCTGAATATGATGGTGGTGGCGAAACAATGCCAACATGATGAACAACATCAGCACTACCATCATCAGTGACTATTCGACGTGCACGGCCCGTACGAATCTTTTTTGTTTGCACAACCGGTGGTCGAACAATAATCAATTCGTTGCGTGGATCATTGGCGATTGTTTGAGCACCTGGTTCATTGGTACGAAGAATACTTGTACGAGTTAAATTTAATGTACGATCTCCACGATCAACGACGGGAATAAGTGGTGCTTCAATAATAGGTGGTTGAGTAGATCTAACGACACTACTAAAATCTGTATCAGATGCATACATAGATGGAGTACTGGAGCCTAAAATTTACATAGAAAAATCGAGGTCATAAAACGAAATGATAACCTTGATTTATTAAAATAAACACTCATGTACACGGACTGCTGCCAAGGATTTATTTAGAAAAGCAACAATTCTCTAATGCTTCGACAAACTTCAATGCACGTAAGGAATCAAGAGGTATTTTAATTTTTATTATGCTTTTAACAAAAAATTGATCGATATATCAAGTGCTTCAAAAATTTGGCCGTAAAAAAAGCCATAAATAGCAAATAGTATGTAATATAAACAGTTTAAAATAGAATGTCTAGAAGTTATAATCAGACTGTTTGTTACTCAAGGGTAAATTTGAATCAACAATGATTGTAATAACTTATATATTAATTGAGTTTAGAAAAAGAAATATTCGAACTCGAGGTTAAATTTACATTAAAATACTTTCGAAAATCAATAACGTTCTTTTTTTAGTTTCGAACAAACATCAAGTATTTTGCTTAGGTAGCTTAATTAGTCTTAATAAAGCAATATTTCGTTATAATTCAGATTTGTTTAGTTGTAAAAGTTTTGAAATATTAAAAGATTTCATCTCGATATTTATCTTCTTTTCTGTTTTGTTTGAAAATTTCATTCTCTTTTGAAAACAATCGAGACTTAAATTTTGCTCATAATAAAAACAAAGACGTTTTCATACCAGCCATTAATTGTCCTTGTTTTTCTCGTCGACGTCGTTCAACTTCAATAGCAATTTTTCGTTTGTAATTTTCCAAAACGAATGGCTTATAAATATCAGCCACATCTTCAACTGTAAACGATGTTGGCGTCGTAACTGGTTGTTTGTAACGCAAATGTTCTTTTCGTACTTGATATAAATGTTCAGCAGATAAACTACGACCTAATTTACTTGTTGTTTCTTCAATAAATTCTCTATTGCGATCTTGTCTCATGAGTGCTTTATCGCGTGCAATTGTCTCCACATGTCGTACACTTTCTTTCATACTATGATTTAATTGTGAGATATAGAAATCGGCAATGAGATCGCTTGGCCGATCGAGCAATGAACGATTGACTGTTGATAGGTAACGTGATAATTGTCTTTGATTTGGTATTGTTTTTCGTTGATTGTCATCGATTGTTTGCTGTTGTTGTTCTTCTTCTTCATCTGACCAAAACGATGAATTTGATTTAATATCAACGTCACTATCATTATCAACAGGGTTCATCTGAGATGTTGTGGTTGGCGGTGGTGGTGGTTGCTGATGACCTTTATTTTTTGCATATTGCGAAGCATTCGATACTTGACCAGCAATAGTTGCGTCAACGCCACGAAAACGATCGTGCATGATTTCATAGAACATATCAAGATTTGGGCCTGGTGTACTGAAGCTTGGACGACCATTAGTTGGAGTTTGTGCCGTCTATATAAAAAAAAACGAATATTTTACTTTTCTGAATAAGCCCATGTATCATCTAGACTAAATTCTAGTATTCATTTTGTTTTTCTTTTGTTGTCCTGGTTGATGCTAAATTTAGACTATTGTAAACCTTAATTCATCAAGGTCGATAGGAATAGATTGAAAATAGATGTTGTCCTGCATGCTTTCACAATATCTTCAAGGTTGGTGAAGATCCCCCTCATAACAAAGCAAAGCAAAAGAAAAGAAAAGATTAACAAATGCCTTTATTTTTCTAGTAAACTTTACGAAACCATGATTTTCAAACTTCAAGCCATAGCTATAAGTGATTTATTATTGTAATACGGCATCTCAGATATCATCATAAAAGCCGGGTAGAAGTTAAATAGCATTAATCCATTAGAAAATCGAGCTGTTTTTTTCACTTAATTTTAAAAATTATTATTTTGTCTTAATACAATACAAGGTTATGTTGATTTTCATTTATATAGGCTGTTTTTTTACAATATTTGCTTCCCGTTATAAAATTATATCTGAGCGTATGTATTTTGGCTTCTGCTGAGTTTCTTTTAAGTTATGAGAATTCACTTCAATACATTTATCAACTTCTAGCTTTTTATTGTCTTCATCGGGATTAGTAAAAGTTACAAAAGAAGCTGAATAGAAAGCGATTCATCTCATAAAACTGAGAAATACTACTAGTCATTCATTGTCTCTTACATAGTGCTTCACGGTCATACACATTGAACGCTATATTTCTTTTAAGATTCATTTATTATCAAAGCAATCGAATCTATCTGTAAACTTTAGAAATATTCCTTTTTCTTGTGAACTACACTGAAGAACACCGGAACAAGAATTCTGTTTTCGCTCTACTTAAAATAGTATCAAAATAATTGAAAAACAATTGAGTTGATAATCAAAATTCTCCAGGCTCGTATAATCTTGATGAAAAATTTTTCTCCATTAGTTTATAAAATCACAACAAAACAATTGAGAATTTGATTACTATGCAGTTTCGAGGGTTCCTTTTTCATTTTAATAGTGTTATAAAAATTCTCTTTTGTTCATTTCTTTTTTTTTTTTTGAAATAGTTTATCTTTCTACTTATATCACGATCTATGAAAGTGTTCAAATAGATCGAATTTCTGTTTGATAATTGATCGATCAATCCTTACATAATCTAATCTTTTAATATAACCCATAAGTGAAGGCTGTTGTATATCCGACAGATTGTAGGGAAGAAAACGAATGAAAATCTTATTCGCAATAACACAGCAAATATTTTGCTTTCGCCTTCACTAGAGGTCATTTTCTTGGATTATGAATTTTTATGAGATATAACCCGATTTAAAAAGTTGACTTCATATTCTGCTTTATCAAATCAATACATCTTAAAAAAAAGGAATAATGCTTACCGAAGTATGTGACTTTTGTGACCGACGATCAGTGTCAAAGCCACCTGATTGTGCATCAATATTTTCATTTAAACTTCCAGTCATAATTGGGCTGTAGGTTGATAATAATGGCGATAGAATTCCAGCGCCAAGCGATGATGTTGGCGTTGATGATGTTATTTGTCCATCGAAGCTCGTACTCAAACGAAGACGTCTTTCTCTATCAATAGCTCGTTTCATCTTAAACGATTCTAATGCTGGTGACATATGTATATCTTGCACATCTTCATATGTGTACGAACGCATGTTACTACGAGTTTGAATATTTCGATTTTCTTCTCGTCGTAAATCATCTAAATATGTCGATGAAAAACATCGTATTAAATCATGATTTAATTCACGTTGTAATGATTGATTTTCCAGAGAACGTAAATAACGATTGAAATTTTGATCTAATTGTTTAATGCGATTTGCATCGCTTAGATAATTTCCATCGATTAAACTTTTATTAACATTTTTCATTATTTGTGTATGTGTACGATTTGTATTCAAACCACGACTATAAAATGGTGAACGCTTTTGTTGTGGTTCATCTTCATCACTATCAATTGGATAGTCAATTGGAGGTTCTTCTTGTGCATAGTATTGACTAACATAAGGTTTGTGTTGTGATGATATTGGTGGTGAGAAAATTTGTTGATGAAGATACTTCTGATTGGTTGATGAAACAAGACGATCAACCGATTGTTGAAATGCTTGTGGTGAACGTCCACGTTTTCTACCAGCTAAACGTTCACGTGCTTCATCAAGATAGGATCGTGATGTTGTCGATGGATCGAAACGAACATTTTGAACTTTATTTGGTGGTGATCGTCGCAATGTTGACAGTGAACCATTGGTTGATGTTATTGTATCCATACGTGTTGGTGAACGTTTTGTTGGATGTCGATGTTCTGGACTTGTACTTGATGTGCGTGAGCGTTTTAATTGTGCATTCGGAGGTAAATCCGTAATACTATCAAAGACAATGTGCGGCTGCTGCCGTTGTTCAATCCACGAGTCTTTAAAGGAAACACATAAATAGAGAAAAACACTAGGCTATTTAAAAAGGATGGTCAGGTCACAAGAGACTAATAAAAAAGCCATTCAAATTTATCTTTCTTTCTTCCTTTTTTTTTTGTTCTTCATCATCATCTCGGCTTTATTTGCTTTTAGTTACTATATCAATCTTACCCTGCTGGCTAACTGGTGAAGTTATACTTGGATGTGCTTGAGATTCTGATGTCTTTGAAAATAGATAAGGTGTATCAGTTACGATAGTTGTTGGCAATGAAATTTTCTCAGCGATCGATGAAGTTCCATCGATAAATGTTATTGTATGTGGTTCTAATCCATTACCAGAACGAATATATGTTAAAGTTTTTTGTGGTTGTTTCAGTGAATCATCAGTCGAAAAATAATATCGATCAGAATCTGTTGAATGTGAACGTGGTTCAATATGTTCATTAGGAAATTTATAAACATTATTATTATTTTGGTCGATTGCAGCAGATGAAAACTTATAACGTTTTCTTGTCAGTGGTGGTGTTGATGATGATGATACAGGATTCTGATGATTTGATTTCGTTTTTCTTGTTGCTCTTGTTGTTGCAGACATTCTTGAGGCTCGATTATCATTTGAAGGTGAACCAAATAGATAACGATCACTAATGTGTGAAGATGGAGGTGGTAAAGTTGTTGTTGACATTGTCTGACTGTTATTATTATTATTATTATTATTATTCGAATTAGAGTTATAAACGCTATCCAAACGTAAAAGTAATCTTTTAAATTTTTCTAATTGTTCAACTTTATTTTTAACCAAGGGTAAACGTGCTTCGAGTGTAAAATAATTATCGCCTGTGTTGGCCAACGAAGGCGATGATGATGAACTGAATAGTGATGATGTTGAAGAGGATAATGAGGACGGATCGGCTATCGATTGTTGGTTATCTGAAGTACCGTTCACTAACTAGAGAGGAGGAAAAAAGAAAATATTAGTCATGTAATATGGAATGATTAACTGGTCGCCAATGTGTCACAGCTGCCGCTTAGTATGGTTTCAAAAAAGAAAAAGAAAAGTATACAGGAATAAAACGGAACACAATGAGCAAAGGAAGAAAATGTAAAAGTTTGGTGTATTGGGCTTCTCCTGTTATATTATTCTTTTTTTCTTCTTCTCTTCAATTTTTTTTTCTTTTTCAGTTCGACGCGTGTTCTTTTCTATTCTACTACAATGTAATAAGAGAGAAGAATAAAGAAGTTCTGTTTCTTTTTTATTCCTACTTTTTTCTTCTTTGTATGTCAAAGTCGAGGTATGGAAGGCATGTAAAATTATGAGAGAGCACTATTTACATGAAATTGAACTTTTTCTTTCTCTGTTCATGCATTGATAAATGCAATGAGAAAATCATTAACCTTCATGGTACTATTCTATACCGTACCTCAAGCTTAAATATGCATGAAAGCGCATGTTTGTCGTCAGCTCTTGAAATAAAAGATGAAGAATATGTGAAGACATTTTGTGTGAGTTCTATTTGCTTTTCTTTACTTCGTCAAGTTATGCATGCCTGTGTGTGTATTTCGTCAAGAGTTTATGCTTGCAAAACATTGCCATCACAAAAGCAGCAATAGGCTCGAAGGCGAATTCCAGTAAAAACAAACATAGCACAAACCGCAACGAATAGAGGAAGAAAAAAAAAGATCCTACTTTTTTCTTCCTCGTTTTAAATATCTGCTGTGAACACTTTTTCTTAGGTTTACGTAATTCTAATTCCTAAATGATAATAAACTACTTACCATTGTGCTCGGTGAAGATATTTCAAAATTCATGTTCATTCGAATAAAATCTTACTGTGTACTGTTAGTTTAATCGGGTATAATCATAATCGCCTTGACCACACACGCACAAGAAAAAGATAAAGTAAAAGAGAGAGAGATAGAGAGAGAGAGACAGGGAGAGGATGAGTCTATGTATGTTGTCTACTATTCAATGGTCATAAGACATGAGCGGAAAGAGAGAGAGAGACAAGAACGGAAAAGGGATGAGTTGTAAAAAGAGACGAAATCAATACTTGAAACTAATCAAAGCCATATTTATGTACGAAGAACGAGAAAGAGCAATATCGCGAGAGAAGAAAGGTTTAAGTCACATGTAAACAAGATGAACGCGCACGCGCACATTCGTTCATTTATATATAGAAGACAATGAATATGAATAGATAAAGGTAATGAACATATACATTTCGTTCTCTTTCGATAATTCGCACGAAAACATTGAAGAAAAAGATCGATTGCCTGCTTGCCTATTGCTTTCTATGACCTTCAAGATATATGCGAGACAGAGGAAGCATGTGGTTGAATGAAACCAAGGAAGATCAAAATAAATATTTTCCTTACGTGTATAAATCGTCTACGAGCAATAGAAACCAAATCTCAGCGTTGTTGCTTTCATTTATCCTTGCCGTTTTATTTCATTCTCTCTTCTAAGTTTTTCTTCTTATCACTCAAAAAAAAATCTAGTTATAAGTATTTTATTGATGGTTGGTGGTTTTATTTTTGTCAACTGGATAACGATTATAAAAAAAAATTAGAATGTAAAATGTTGACAAAATGACAACCGCAACGACAACAAACGTTTACTACTATACATATTTGCATTTAAGCTATTGCGCTATTTATTTGTTATTTTTTTCCTCTGTGTTCGTAGATATACTCTTTCTTTGATTTTATTTCTCTCATTCGGTTTGTCGATTCTTCTGAAATTAAATTGCCTTTTCTTTCTTTTAGATTTCAAGTAGAGTAGGTAAAGAAGAATAGTAAAAATTGCAAGAAAAGAAAAAATAAAAAAAATAAAAACATACATGAGTGTATATACACGAGCGTAGACCGCATACGTTCGCATGCGTAAACGAAGCCATATTTAGTACCTCTTTTTTTATAATGGTCAAATGAACTAAGAACGATAAGTAAGGATTGAGTTCAGCGACGCAAATAGAACATGCAACCATGCATATTCTGTTTGTTCGCTTTATTTCTCTCGATTAATGAAGAAAAAGAAACGACAGCATTTATTCTAGTTGAACAATTTTCAATCTGAATTCCTACTTAATAATAATACCATAAAGAATTTTAATAGTTACAATTATTTCGATGACAAATAATGCTTAATCATGACTATTTACTCCGCATTGTGCCAGGAGACACTGTAGTACGTTTTTTTTCTTCTACTTAAATATTATTTCACCTTCAGCATTCTTTTTGAAATAACAACAAACAAAAAAAAGTCGAAATAATTGTGACGCAATTGAGTCGCTTTGAAATTTTGCGCCGGCATGTAACAACACATCACGAACATGCGCGTTACACTTGAAAATTTTCGCTTCACTACTACCGCTCTCCTACTTGCTTTGTCTCGCGTCTTCTTATGCATGTTTTTACACCAGCTGTATGCTCGTTTATACGAGTGCTTGTGTCGTCTTTCGAAAACAATCACACTTCACTAACCGTTCGCTGCTATTTACTCAGCATGTGCTTTAAATCTTACGTGACGTTCAGTCAGTTAGAATCGATAACTTATCGAACTATGAACACATACACATATATTGAACAGGTTAAATAAAGAAACAAAGGAAATTTATTTACCTGTCGGTCAATACCTCTTCGAATAGACGCAATCAAAGAAATGTAACGGTGACGATAAGAAAAGATCGTCAATGCATATAAGTACGAAGAACGATATTAAAGTTAATTTGAGAAGCAGTCAAATTGAATTATTGTTCCCGGTTTGGAGGTGACTGCTTCTGCTTAGTCAAATATAAATAATAGCGAAAAAACCCGAAGAAAAGAAATGAAATAGAGACCAAGAAAAGAAATTTATAAATTCAATGCTGTTGCTTTCTACAATCATCGCTTCGCCTACACGCCCTGTACTATTCATGCTGCCAACGCTTTTCGTTCTTTTAAAAAAATGCACACCATCTTTATAAAATAAATATTATGTGCACAATGCATCACACATACATAAACCGGATGCCAGTGTTCACCATAAACTAGTACAGATTCACGCTCTCCTTTCTGTCTTTGTCGCTCGTTTTTTTTTCGTACTTATAAAAACATCATGAAGAATTGCGGAATAAAAAATAATTGAGTAACTCATGTGCTCGCGTATTTTATTGTGTGTATGTACATGTATTGTCATTTCATCTCAAGTCAATATTGAACCTGGCTTATCGTTGTTCAACAGATGATACTACTCCAGTGTCGTTCTTTTTCGTTTCTCTCGTTCTCTGTCAAATTATCAAAAGATTACTTGAACTTCATCGTGATGTGGTCGTAGTCTTCTTTATTTGATTTTCTCTCTCTGTCTTTTGGCCACTTATGTCATTACAATACGAGGCGGCATAACCTTTGGACTAGAATAGTAATAGGCAAATGACTTTGAACAGAATTTTTTGCTTCTGTATATGTACATGATTTCTCTCAATTCCTTTTAGAAAGAACGGGTGCAATAAGCGGGAGGGGGATGCTGAATCGAGCTTGAATATACACTACGTTCGAAGGTCAATGTTGTAGTTCTTCGCTCGATAATTTGTGCCACATACATACATACATACATACATACATATATATGTGTATGATCTGAATTTCAAGACAATGATAATCTTTTAGTTCTATACAATGACGAAACGATATCAATTTATCGTTACTTTATACTAAACGAAAATAGCGAACGTGGACACCTATAGAGATATTCGATTTCAGAGAAAGCCGAACAAAATCGTTACGTCCTGTATGTATGACATAACTAGCAAATACTCATAAGTAGAAATGAGAAGGTACTCTGCCCATCAACTTCCACTTGAAAAATAAGAGTGAGAAAATGAAGAGCGCATACACGAATGTGTATGCATATATGTATACAAGTTTTAATACCACTTACTTCATTTACGACTGATTGTGACACCGTTGCCGATTGAGGATACGAACGACGATACTGTCGGCGAGCATGTAAAGGCATAGGTGGTGGAGGTGTTTTAAAAGAGTATAATGTACGAAGCATTGCATCAGCATAAGTATCAACTTTTGATAATGAACAACCTACAGTTTGTTGAATCGAAGATATATGTGGCATAGTTTTAGATTCTGGTTTTTTTTTCTAGTTTTATAATTCTAATCTGCTGATATTGTCAATTAAAGCCATCTGAAAAAACAAAGAGTTCATTTTTTTTTCTATATTATAGTAAAATTTATGTACAAAATGAAGTGGTTGAAATACATGAAAAAAAGTTGAGCTGTGAAATTGGACGGATCAAATAGAAATTTTATAGCGATATGAGTATGTGCAGTCATTTTAAGAGTGCACATTAAAAAATAAAACAACGAATTTGACGATCAAAAGTCATAAATATTATCAATGAACTTACTTGACATTTCTTTTCTTTTTTTTTATGTTGAATGAACAACTTGTCAAATCATTAAATTCAGCAATTATTATTCACTAAAAATTTCAAACTGATTGATCTATATCATATAATGCGTCTGTATGTTTGCTGGACTGCCTATTACTTATGTGAAGAAAATGGTACCAACGTATCGTATCACCAAAGCTCACATAGTGTTATACTACGTGTCACTTGTCCTATGAGACACTCGGCGAGACGAAACTAAAAAGCAAAGAATATGACTAAAATATATGTATACACATATACATATATACACAAACTGTTGAGCAACTGCGACAGACAATTAACCTCCTTGACGAGCGCGTATAGTTCAATAGTCAACGTTAAATATATGTATATACACTTGTCCCTCCCAGATATGTACGACCCTTACTAGATACGACCACACCCATATATATATATATACATTTATGGCAAAGATGTCTAACGATGGTAATTTTTTCGTCTTTTTCTTATGAATATAAATAAATGTGTCTACCAACGGAAGATCTTCACTTGTTTATATAGAGATATGCGTTTGACTCATCGTTGACTATTCGACATATACTTCAATTATCTAATGAGGCTGACTATGTTCATTCACGCGCACGATGTCGTGCAAAGATAGTTGAATAGTGATAAGACAAGAAAAGTTGATCGAGCAAGTGCATGTTTGCGTATAGAAGGACCGATAAATATCGACCTGTCAATCGAAAATTCTGTTCATTCTCGATTTTAATCTAGTGACATTGTCATTTTATGGCAAGATATTGTCATATGATGACAGAGAGAGAGAGAGAGAGAGAGAGAGAGAGCGGGAGTCAATTAAACGTGCCATCGACGCTGCAAACTATATGATCAATCAGATTAGACTCTTGTACGTGTGAAATTAAAACAAATTAGTGTTTGTAAGACTAGCTTTAATAAGAAAATACACACTTGTTCTAATAAAATAATTTTTATCAACACCGCATGAACTTCATAGTAATTTAGTATTCATTGATTTATTAAATCATAAGTAATCAGCACTTTCTTTTGACTACTAATAGACTTTCGCTGGTTATTTCAGGGATTTTGAAGAGCAAAAAAAAGGGTTCTTGACTAAAGCTGAATCAACTTAATTTTATCGCCAATAAAAAATAAAACCTATGAATACCAGTGTTTCAAGTATCTTTAAGAAAAGAAGTATTTTTAAACTTTGCATTGACTTAAAGAAAAAAACATGATGTTAGCTTGATAAAGCAAAAAAACCTGACACCTAGCGCGTCAGGATGACGTGCATGCATTATTGTGTTTGCTTATCTTATCTCTACCATATAAATAACATAATAAAAACGAGAATGATATTTTTCTATTAAATACAACCAATGCAGAGCATATTGATATTTACACTACTTGTTGGCTTTATATCAGCCCAAGCACCTATTCCAACTCGTCCAGATGGTTATGGAGTTGGCGGACCAGCGGATGCTCATGTTGTCGTGGAAATGTTTCTCGATACACTCTGTCCCAGTTGCAAAGCTTCATGGCCAACTGTTTTACAAGTGATTCAAGCTTACGGCACAAAAATTCATTTTCGTTTTCATACATTTCCACTTCCGTATCATACAAATGCGTTTGTTACTGCTCAAGGTGTACACGTTATTTCCAATGTTACAAATCGAAATTTAGATTCTATCTTTAAATATGTAACCAAAGTATTCGAAAATCAAGAAGCCTGGTATAATGATGCAACAAAAAATATGACAATGACGCAAGTTGTTGATTCACTTGCCACATTCGTTGCACAACTTGATCTGGTAACAAAAGCTCAATTTTTGGCAGGCATGGCTAATGATGATATCAATTTTGAAACGCGTGTTTCATGGAAATATGCTTGTTCAAGAGGTAATTTCAGCTTAGAAAAAAAATGCTATATTCGATTCATTAATTGATATTTAGGTGTGGTTGGTACACCAACATTTCTTATTAACGGTGTAGCTACAAGTGCTGATGACTCATGGTCACTTGCCGATTGGAAATCAGTCATCGATCCTATCTTAGCATCGAATGATGTCTTACCACCGAAAGTGGATGCTTGTCCGCCTGGTCAAACAGAATGTACCTATCTTCCCGGTAAAACAGAATGTTGTTTAGCTGGTGAACGTTGTATTCAAAATGTTGGCTGTCGATGTTTTAATTTGAAACTTGGCAATCAATGTCTTTGAAATGATTGAGAATCAATTATGAATTTTTTTTTTCAATAAATTGTGCAATATGAATAGATTTGTTTTTTTGAAGAAACATTTGCAAACTTGGCAAGCATTTATTTAATTAGCTGAATCGCTTCAATTACTTTGAGTAGCTAAAATATGAATCAAATATTCGTGTATTTTAAAATCACGTGACTTTTCAGATCCTTTCAATTCACACGAAAAATCACCATTTTAAACATGATCAAGTATAATCATAGAGTCATATTAAAAGATTTTGTTTTTTTCCTGTTGTAATATTTTAATCTATTTCAAAAAACAAGCGAACGTTGATCGAGACTTGCTTCTAGACGAACACGATGAAGCTGCACATACATCAGAAATTTCGTATGGATTCGTTTCAAAAAATGAATTTCTTGCTGCTAGAAAAACAAGTTTGAATTTATTTTTAAAGTTTCCATGGCAATCGAGTAAAGTGACTAAACATTATGTTGATTCATGTGAATGGATATGGTGTCCATTGAGCAAAAAAAAACATTTTAGCAAAAACCTTTGAGCGAATGCCAAACAGCGAAAAAAGTTTGAGCGAAGAGATATTCGCTGAAAATGTTTTTCGCTGTTATAATTTTCGCGCTTTTTTTTCGCTGAAAATACATTTCGCTATCTTTATTTTCGCTCAATGAACACCATATCTAATTTCATCTCATGAGATATCTATTGGATTTCCAAATTCCAATATCGATTGAATGAAAAATATAATAAAAAATAAAGCTTCTTTATTGAAAAAAATTATTTTATGAAAGTGTATATATGAGAAGGGTCCACTAAAAAATGTTAACTATTGTTCAATGAGAGCCATGTTCAATTGTCTAGCTCGTGTAGACAATATAAATANATTGTGAATCACCATAAAAAGAAGTAATAATGTTTTTATCTATGTTGCTAGGGGTTCTTAGTGTGATGCAAATTTTACCCCTTACCATAGTATATATACACACAAACTCCTGTACTATGCTCCATCACATTACATTAACAAACACATAACTACATACATAGTACAATTTTCAATGGCATTCATGCATTACTCGGTCTTATTGTTTCTCGTCGCCTTCATCGGCTCATCATTTACAGCACCTGCTCAACCACAATCAAGTGTTTTAGGTAAGTCTTACTTCTTTTTTAGTTACGCCCAATCATTGTTTGTATGCTATTAGCTAAACCTAACTCGTGGGACTCGAGTGGCAATGGAAATCCAGTAAAAAGCAAAATTTCAGTGACTTTGTATACAAGATATCTCACTGGTAAGCTCTTTGGCTCCGGATACAACACACTGGTTCCTCATGGAATTCCAATCAACAAGTTACTCACGTTCTCTGTGGCTGTGAACACAACAACTGGATTTTATCCACCGAATTACACCTATTCAACTGGTTATGGCTTCCAAACATTCATCGATTCGACCTATGTTCACATCAATCCAACAATCAACAACGCTCAAAACGTGTATTTGAAACCGTTTCTTATTTATATTGTCTACACGAGCTAGACAATTGAACATGGCTCTCATTGAACAATAGTTAACATTTTTTAGTGGACCCTTCTCATATATACACTTTCATAAAATAATTTTTTTCAATAAACATAACGGATCCGTTTGCAGACTATATACATTATCGATTTTTAAGATGAAACACGAATCGGAAAACAAAACGAGTAGCTAATGTTGACAGGAAAATTACATTAGAGAAGGGAATTGAATGAGCTTCGGAAAAAAAAGCAGCAGACTATTGAAAAATGAATGTACAACAGCAAAAGAGACAAAGCCCAGTGAACTTAGACTATCATATCAAATCATTGAGCATTCGAAATCAATCGCTGTCATGTTGTAATGTAGATATAAAGTTGAGATATTTTGAAAAGAACTTTTCTACAGAGGAAAATAGGACAGCTGATTTCCCCATTATTTTCCGCAGAGCAATATTGAAATGCTTGTTGGAATCTTTCACGCAAACTATTTGTTACCGATCCATCAAAGAAGAGACTGTTCTCTTGTTGGACACTTTAGGATAAACTTTACGCTTTGAATGTGACTGATTGAATGAGACGACGCTGTCACCTTTACAAATACACTTTTATACGCCCATAATTATACTTGAAATATTGCATCAGACAGTCGAATGGGAACTAATCAGTCAATATTTTCGTTTTTTATTCTACGATCTCTATTGCAAAGATAAATGGTAATTAAATATCAAGACGAACGAAAAGAAAAACAGCAAGTTTTCAACTTGTTAACATCAAAATGGCAAAAATCTGATATATATTAGGATATATTTTGTTTGAATCTTGAGAGTGTGGGTGTGGGTGTTTCTCTTATGCACACCCACACCCTCAGCTGGTTATTATGCAGATGGTATGCAAGCAGCACAAATATTGGCATTAGCTTTACCTAATGTTGTACCAGTTAATGTGCGCGATAATGTTTTACAACATTTAATTCAAGATATTAATAATAAAGGAAATCATACATCAACAGGCATTGTATCAACGGCAGCACTTTATCCACTTCTGTCTGATAATGGTCAACACGATTTAGCAGTTGAATTAATTTCAACAGTCACATATCCATCGTATGGTTATATGTTTAATAATCCGTATGAAAATGCAACAACTATGTGGGAATTATGGGACGCACCGATGGAAGGTCCAGGAATGAATTCACGAAATCATCATATGTTTTCAAGTATCGGCGCATGGTTTTATTCACATTTAGCTGGCATAGATTTTCAATCGGATTTAATTCTTATTCAACCACGAATGTTATCAGAAAATAAAAAACATCTCTTAACGAAAATTGATTGTCAATTAAGTACTTTGTATGGACTTGTTCATGTTTCATATACACGTGACGAAAGTGATACATTTGCCAATTCAATTTTACTTCGAGTTTCAATACCATCGAATGCTCAAGCTCAAGTTATATTCGAACCATTGTATCCCGGTGCTCGATGTGTGACAATAATGGAAAACCATGAAGTTATCTGGTCGATTGATAGTAAAGATAATAGTGTTTTTCATGATGTCAACACTGGTTTAATGACTCGTCAAGTTGGATCAGGAGATTATGAATACCAAGCTTTTTGGGAATGAAAATTTAAATCACAAAAAAAAAATACTATTTATTTATTCGAAATTTTATGATATAAATAATTATATTCCTTCTTTTTTCTAATGTATTGTGATATGAATGTGCATTTTTCTTAGATTTATTTCATTCGAAAGATTTCAATAAATTATTAAGTGACTTTTACAACAGATGTCGAAGATTTATTTTGATCGAAACACGAGAGGTGTTTACGAGTAGCCAATCATTTGAATATTCAATATCAACACAACTAAACAGAATTCGAGAAAGAAAATCACTATCATATACGATCTTTAGATGTCTGTACAATTTTCAGTTGAATCCATTGAATATCTGACTGAAAAATTGAATAATGGTCGATGTTTATGTGATGAATCTGTTGCTTATCTAACTTCACAAATCAGTCGAGTTATTTTCGATCTCTTAGAAGTAAAATCTAAACGAATAGAACGAACATTGTCACTAATAATTTCATTTCAGGATACCTGTAAATTTGTTAGAAAATGTTGTCGCAATGAAATGATAATAGATGATTTTGCATTTGCATTAAAATTAAATTATATAAAAGTAAATATGCTGTTCTTTCTATCGCCTTCAAAATATATATATCTCTATAGCCTATACATGGTTATATAACAAAGAATATTGATCGTTCTTCATCGTTTCGTAAAATAAAAAAAGACAATCGAATTTTATATCATATTGATGATAATATCGTCGCATTAAATGATTTAATAACAAGTCAAGTACAAGTACCTTTTGATTTAAGCATTCGTGGTAGATCATTAAAAAAATTTTCATATTAAGAATTCTATTATTTATCCATTTACTAGCACATTGGTTAGCAGTCAATGGTCAACAACCTATAACAAATGAAAATCCTATGGTAAATGCATCGATTCGTTCAGTATCAAAGAAAGTTTTAAATAAATCACGCAAGCTGCTATCAATGGTAAATATAGATTTTATGATAATATATTCAATAAATTCGTTCTTATTTCAGGAACAACAAATTTATTATAAAGAACTCACAGAAATGTGTATTTGTTTAAATGAAAAAAAACGAAAAGTAATTGATTCTTTATGACAGTATCAATCTGTAAATGTTTTTCTTTTTCTAGCAAGCTCTATTGATTCTTTCATCGGATAATAGTCTTCAACAAATCGTTTCACGTGTGATTATTTTCATATCGGAAGGTGTACGTGTAAATTTGTCACCCACATCGACCTTTTATCGTTCCATAATATTGAATTTTCTACTGCAAATGTGTGATGCATTATTACAGAATGAAAACATCATTCTAGAATCTTATGTATGAATTCTAATCGATGAGTAACCTGATTTGATTTTAATTCGTTTTAGTTACATTATTTATTGCCAGCTACACTTTCTTGTTTACTTGACAGAAGAATTTCATGTGACCATTGGTCATTGCGTGATCTTGCCGGGAAATGTTGTGGACAAATGATACGGTGAGAATAAGATTTATTGTTTATAATGTGGGAAAATTATTATCGTTTTTTCTTTCTGAAGGAAATTTTCCACTTCAACAAATCTTTAGCAACAAAGGACAGTTAATATTTTTTATCGAATTTTAATCAACAGTGAAGAAGAATATATTTGGTCAACACAATATGGCGCATTTGTCGGTCTTTGTGAAATGAGTCATAAAGTTAGTTTTATTTCAATCAGTTTTTTTTCTTCTATGATTTGCATTTTGTTTTAGGTGATTATTCAAATCGTTTTTCCACTTATTAAACAATTAGGGGAAAAAATTCGATTAATATCAGATAGAGAATTATCACTTCAAATGACTAAAGTTATTGTTGTAAGACATTTTTTGTGGTAGTTTTATTAAGAGACACGTCTTTTGTTTCATTTAGAAATTTATAACAATAGCTTATCGTTCAGTACAAAATGACAATGAAAGTAATGAAAAAAAGCTTTATGAAGATTTTGGCTCGTACTTTGCTCCTCTGATTCAACGACAATTGATATTATTATTGTAGATAAAAAAACAATTGAGATTATAAAGTTATATGAATTAAATTAATTTTCTTTTTCTTTTTAAATAAACAGATTAGTTATGATTCTAAAGAATTCATGATCGATTTCGAAAGCTTTTTGTAACGAGACAAGGACAATATCAAAAATGAGCATTTAATGGAATTGTTATATAATACTGTTCGATGGTCATATCATTCTTTCGTTCTTAAAAATTAGTTCTCACATAAATTATCGAATCTACTTTTTTGTTTTTATAGTAACTCTATGAAATAAATATGATCAGTATATCTACTCATTCAAAGTATCGTTTTATATTTAACTCTAAATTACATTTGTTATTTTCATTACGAACAAATGATTGAAAAAAATAAAAATAAAAATCACAAATAGCAATGTTTGTTTGCTAATGACAACCAATTTACTCAAGTTATGTTTCTCTATCAATCATCTCATTCACATAAATCTTTTTGATCCCAGCAGGCATAAAAAAAATATTATTTCTCAAGATTTATTTTATTCATTCATTCATTCATTCATCCGGAAGAGTTGAGAGTATAGTCGTATTTCTTCTCATCTTACTGTTATTACTACAATTTTATTGCTCAAATATGCTTTATTATATTGTTCCTGACTTTTTAAATTTGATCGTTCGAATGAACTTTTTCTTTTATACACACAAGGGATCAATGAATATGAATATAAATAGAAAAAAAAGAAACGTCGTGTACATGAGCACACCCACACCCCATCTTTTCCGATGTGATTTATTGATAATTGCTACAATTCAGCATATGATTAAAAATTTTCATGTCGAAAAAAAAAGAAGAAATATAATGAAAATCCGATTATATTTAGATGTGGTGATATGTTTGAAAATGGAAGTTATCTACGTCGACGAAAACGTTTTAAATTATTAAATAAATCTCATACGGAACACACAGTGATTACGAAACAAACAATAAAGCCAACTCTTGTTAATACATCATCACCGATCAAATCACAGCCAATCAAAAGTTCATTTTTTATTGATAATCTTCTTGCAAACGATACAAATACGAATACAAGTTATACAACATCATCAGCATCGTCACCATCGGAAGCTAATTGTACATTGAAACATCTGCTCTATTCAACTGATTTAGATCTTGTTCAAAAATTGACATTTTTTAATGATTTTCACGGACAACAGCAGCAGCAGCAGGTTTATTGGTAAAAACAAAAAGAAAGACAGAATATTTTATTTTTTTGACACATCATCAATTTTATGTGTTAGGCCACCTATGCTTCATTTGCGTCTAATGACTTTGTATTTTGTTCGCTATAAGACTCAAGTATATATATATATATATATATTTTTGTTTTTTTGTTGATGACATTTGGTGAGTGTGTGCGTTTGTATCAATGTAATAATATAATGAAGTTGTCACACAAGATGTTAAAATTGGATGATGAAGGATATACCAAGACAGAAGAAAAAAAAAGAAAATTCTAATCACCTGAGAATAGATTATGACAGTATCTTTAATTGATAAAATATTCAAGCATGCATACACATATAGATGTGTCTGTATATGTTTTATTTGTGGTCTTGTGTGTCTCGTCGTTATCATTATCGAAGGTATGATGTAGCCGATGAAATGAAAGGGTAAAAGAAAAGAAGAAGAAGAAGAAGAAGCAGAAGTCATCTCTCAAGAGATTTTATTCATAGAAATCATATTGAAGTGTACTCACACACAGAGATCATGATCGACAATCTTCAATATGAACATCTTAGCTATTTTCATTTAGTATTGATGGGTATTCATCTAATTCATTCATTTTTCGGCAATTACGCAATAGGACAGGAGAGACATTTATTACAGTTTGTTTCAGCGAATTCTTCAATCAGGCAAATAAATTTTCTGAATTATGAGATTCACAAAAAGCATGATTATGACCTGTTATAACTGGATCGTAATATTCGTAATTGCGAAGCATATGAAATTACCTAGAGTCGGTGTTTACAAGCATAGAATAAAAGTTTCCTATCTCTTAAAATGATGACAGCTCAACGAGATGAGATCATTTTGGTCAGCGCTGCATCATTCATCAGTTATCGAAATCTATTAATGAAAATCATCTAAATTATAGGTTTTGAAAAAAGAAACTTGCTTGGTTACAAAAATTTCTCTTTTGTTTTCGCATATTTATTGAAATCAATAACAACACGAGTACATATAGTTCTCCATGATAAGCAATGAGCAGTCAAGGAAGAACAAGTGAAGTTAGGGTTGGCCCTTTATATGCTAATGCCTCTACATTAAAATCTCGAATATAATTTTTCACGTTGATCAATATGATATTCATTAACATAGGTGTAACAAATGTAATTGTTACCACGTACAATATGGAAATAATCGACAGAATAATAATTCTTTCAGTTAAATATTGTGCATTATTGATGGATGGGTTACGACAGTTCGGATACCACGTGAATATCTTTTACAATTGTTTTACTTCTTTTATTCCACCCTTCTATCCATTAACAGACATTATTTACTGAATGATCAACAAATTTTGTTTACCTATTCACACAATAAACAATATAATCGTTATTGAAGTTGAATACCAGTGCAAACATGTATAAAAGAATCAAGCTAGTACGTGCAACCAATTGAAAATGATTTACAATTCAAATAATTGAGGAGCCGCATATATTTGGTTTGATGTTACTCCATCATCAAGAATTATTACCCAGTATAATAACCACCTCTTCATAAATGTTCGACCAAAGCGATGGAATGATCGACCCGATCCGCATTACAATAATACCTAGAATACAAAAATTCAATAAGACTATGTTTAGGTAATCTTGCAGAAACAACAGAGTATTATGTTCACATTATTTTGATCGGACTCTGTTCTAGGAAAGATAATTGATATTAAGCTGTCTAATATAAAACATTCGCTAGAAACACTAAAAGCATGATGCGTGCTGTTACAATAAAAACATAGGGATTATGACAAGTAAAGTGGCAAGCAGCAGAAGATCTCCACGCTTACTATTAAAATAATTCATTATATATTTTTTTTATAATGACTATTCGAATTTTGAGATTTGAACCAGCCTAATATTTAACGAAAAAGAAATAGAGAATAACGCTGAACAAAATTTTCAATTTTCTTGTAACGAACAAGATAAAAAAAAGTAAAACTGACCGGCAGCCACCTTGAGCCAATTCGGAAATTCCAATTTATTCGATGATGATGCTGCTGATGATAATGCTGACGATGATGCTAAGCAACGATTTTTATAATCTAAATGATGAACGATGTATTAAGTTAAAAGATCATTTTTTTTCTTTGTCATACGAGCAATAGAATTTAACTCGTAAAGAACATTTTTATCCCATTCAAATTGAAAGTTTCCATAACTGTCTTCTGGTATCCTAAAAAATAGGAAATATATTTTGAAAGAATTTCTTTTGATTTGCTATTAACATACGAAACAAATTCATTTGATTGTTCGTCTTTAAATAATATTCCTGTAGCACCAGGAAATGTTTTAACAAAATAATCTTTTCGAATAATATTATCTTGTTTAAGTAGCAGACGAGTAGTTTGCTTTGTCTCATTATCGTATATTCGAATATAATTCATTCTCACAGTAATCTGAAAATAAAACGAAGCGAATTCCTAGGTTATTAATATGTTCACTGAGTAAAAGACAATGCCATTGTCTTTTAATAGTAAGTACCACAAGCAAAAGCAAAGTACCAGAGGTACTTACGATTTTGAAAAAGTACTTTGCTTTTGCTGGTAAAACGTGGAAAAATCCTCGGTAAACTATGGATTTGTCCTTTGTTTCGAAATCCTGTTAAAAACGCTGGGCAATGGATTGACTTGAAATAGCGTTAGTTTAGTGACAACAAAATAATACCAATAAAAAGTATAATAAACCGAGTAAATATTATCTGAAAACAAATTCATTTCATAAATACAGATATAGAGACGAGACGACAATGGAACAATGGAATACATGCAGTGAAATAGGATATATCAAATCCAATCGGTGATGAGCAATAAGAGAATTCTGAAGAGGGAGCCATTTGTTTATATTTAGTAAGTTTTGGTAGATGTGTTTATTTTATTTGAAAAGAAAAAGAAATATTTTAACAGAATCTAATTGTTTTATTCAAGATGAAATTTTGTAAAAAGTTGATTATTAATAGATTATTCAACTAGATGGTATTCGAGTTTCACTCGTATACGAAATGCGATGCGAAGCAGGAATTTGGATCTATGAAAAATCTTGAATTCTTTTTATGTAGCCATGATGCAATTCATCCCTCAGAAAACTCTATTCTTACTTAGCGATTCATTATTAAAGACCGATTTCGATTGATCGATTAATTATCTTTCTGATTCATTATCTTAGATCAGCTGTAAATGAATAGACTGTAGTAGCTAACATATGTTGATGACGTCATTTTAATTATCTCGAAACAAATTTCTTTCATTTTCGTCATTTTGGAACCACATTTCTAAGTGAACGGTACTTTAGATACAAAATTGGAAAACAGGGGAAATGAGTTCCATCTTGATACTTCGATCTCACGTTTTAACCACTTTCCTACGACTTTCGGTTCTCGAGATCATTAACACAGAAAATGAAGAAAAAGATGCGTATTTCTAGTTAAAAAGAAAAAAAAAACTCGCGACGGACAACAGAAATGCTTCCTGCTTCGCATCGCATTAAAAAAGTGATTGATAATGGCTTAGAAGAACTAATAGAAATTCATAGAAAAGAAAAGGAATAAAATTTGTTCTCATATTCTATGATTAAGTACGAATTAATCAATAGAGCGTTGTTTTGTAGATTAAATTATCGAAGTGAAACAAAATCGAAATTTAGAAATTTTATTGAAATACTCAGTTGATTGCTAAAAAAAATCAATGTAAAATAATCCTAATGTTCCTATATACCTAAACCGTGAATACCGTAAAAAAATTGAATATCTCCTTCTAGGCAAGCTACGGGAAACTAATAGTTTAACCTTGTTAGTTTGGCGGTGAGAACTTTCTTTTGATGTAAAAATAACTAGTATTTTCAAGTTACAATACAAATACCTCCATTGCTAGTATTGGTTTAGAATCTTTTTTTTGGCATAGCTAAATCCTCTTGCAGAACTTAATTATAGAAAATTTCATTCTTACATCCAGATTCTAATCTCATATATGTACACTTGAGTTTGACAATACGTCTGACACGATAGACTTCGTTTGTCAAGTTAGAAAATTTCAAAGCAGATCTCTGATGTTATTTGAATACACTTTGCTTGTCAAATAATAGCAACATTATTTTCTTCAGTACATTTTGAGTGATGAGTACAAATCAGGTAAACGCATTGCATGTGAAATAAATTCTTACGATAGATGCTGCTTGCTTGAAAAGCTTATTGGTTAAAATCAATGCACTAATCAAAAGATACCTGTCTGGCATAGTGCTATTTATTTCATCAGACTTGAAAATATAATAATTATAAAGCGAATTTACTTATTCTAGAGTCGTTCATTTTAAAAATGTATGTATATTTTGTCTTTTCAGATGATTGAACAATTAGGCTTAATTTTCCTTACACTAATACCTCTTGGATTAGTTGTTCTATTTGTAAGTTAATATAATTTCTATGATTTGAAATATGAAGTGAAAATCCATATTGATTTAGAGTATTTGTTTGTTACGTTCATTCAAAATGGCGCCTCGGAGTGAGAATGAAAAACATTATCAAGATCCAGTGACAAAATCACGACAACTATTTCCATCACTCAAAGATACACATTCCAAATATCTTTCTGTAATTATTCCTGCTTATAAAGAAGTAGATCGATGTAAGATTAATATTTTTGAAAAGTTCTTCAATCAGATTTTTCTATGTATAGTGCCGACTATGATCCGAGATACAATGGACTATATAGAACAACGTCAGGTATAGAGAGGCCAATTCGATTATTTAAAATGATTGCTATAGTTTGTAAGTGTTTTTTCAAAACTAGGCTAAAGATGCATCGTTCACTTACGAATTGATTATAGTCGATGATGGAAGTCCAGATAAAACTAGTGAAGTAAGATAAATTATTTTTCGATCATAATTTTCTTATTTTATAAGTCTAGGTTGCATTAACATATAGTGCACAATATGGAACAGACATAGTTCGAGTATTAACCCTAGATGCAAATCGTGGTAAAGGTGGTGCTGTTAGAATGGTGAAGTATAGTTTTTCATAGTTGACATGAATAAAGAGTCTTGCTTTTTTTTAAAAACTATCAGGGTGTTTTGAGTGCTCGAGGTCAATGGATTTTATTTGCTGATGCAGATGGTGCAACCCAATTTAGTGATTTTCCAAAACTTGAAAAAAGTGGACAAGCAGCAATGAAAGTAAGCAAGAAAATGATTGTTAATGATTTCTAAAATTCTTCAATTTAGAATAATGATGTTGTTGTTTGTGGTTCAAGAAGACATTTAGAAACAGAATCTGTTGCAAAAGTAAACTTTTTTTCTTGAATTCATAAAAAAAAGTAGAATTATTTTTTATTTTTACACAATAGAGATCAGCATTTCGTACATTACTGATGTATGTATTTCATTTTGAAGTTTGGCTATTTGCTGTGAAATCTATTCGTGATACTCAGTGTGGTTTTAAATTATTTTCACGGCAAGCTGCAGAAAAAATTTTCACACGAATGCATGTTGAACGATGGTAAGAGTGCATAGTGAAAAGATATTGGCGACTATATCGAACCTTTTCTTTTTATTCAAAGGGCATTTGATGTTGAACTTTTATACATTGCCGAAAAATTAAACATTCCTATTCTTGAAGCTGATGTTAATTGGCAAGAAATTCCAGGTTCAAAACTCGATCCATTTGCTGCTTCATTACAAATGGGCATTGACATCTTAGCTATTTGGTTTCGATATATATTAGGAATTTGGACCATACATCGTAAAAAAGATTAAGAATTATCTATTGTTATGCAATCGGAAAGAAATAAAACAATCTGTTTACCTCTCACAAATTCTATTATATTAGTATAAACGATATGATGGTTATTCTAACTTGCAATTTTCTTTATAATACATGATTTCGTTAAACAAAAGGAACATCTTTTAGCATAGACTTCATGCTTGTTGATGTCGGTAATTTTCAAGGAAAAATTGACGCCAATAAGTACGAATACTGTTAAATTACATTATACAGAGTTATTTGTCCAGTATCGTTTATTTAACAGGCAGAATTTTTAAGTAGTCTTTTATTATGCAAAACACTTGCATTTGAAATCAGTAGTAGTTACATATCTTTGTTACATTATTATTGGCAGATGTAAGAAGCTTATCAGTTTATGGCTTATCCTGAATGTGTGCCTGACAACAACAAACAAAAAAAGTATATTAAAATAAACGTGGCACAGCGCGTTGTTTTAAAGTTCAATGCCAATCTACCAAGATTTGATACGCAAGAATTAGCTATGTTATTAATGATATCTGTAATTCGACTATGCTATGAGGACAGAACTAAGCTTCGTAAACCTTCTGATGACAACATAATAAAGCTATTCAGTTTTTTTCGGTTTCATTTGCAAATGTTTCGTACAGTGAAAAACGATTTAAAAATTCATCCTTTTCAATAGGAAAATAGAACCGTACAAGAAGCCGCCTACGATAAAATTTATAACTATCTTATTAAACAAAAGACTGACCTTATGTTTTTCTTTTCGCCTGAACTAAACTACAATTTATTAAGATAAATCAAATATTATAAAGAAAATTACAATACTAGAATGATTGCGTCTGTGAGCTAATCACAAGTTTTTTACTAATATACGGAAGATTTTGGGATGCAAAATTGATCATTCTATCTCGTTCAATTGTTTGAAATATGTGCGAAATGAAATAATCTACTCTTAGAATAAGTTTTGGCAGCCGTTGTTTATGCTTTTGTGTTTTGTTGAATCTTTAGTTCGTTATATTTTATCGTGAAATGTGACTGTTTTTTTTATCTATATTATTAAACGGAACTTTGTTTTTTATTCATAAATAAAATTATTCTTTGCTCATTGATAGAATAGTCTTATTGGTTACATAAAAAATCTTCATCACAAACTTTTGTATAATTTGCCAATTAATTGTGTTATGAAAATCGTCATTTGACAAAAAATAATGAAAATGAGTCGTAGTAAAATTTGAAATTTCCGATAAAACCAAGCATCCATTTTTCATCAGTATTTTTGCCATTTAGTTTTTCGCATCTGCCTACCTGCTACATTAAAAATTCCTAATTGAACTTAATGAACACCCGACGATGTTGGCGTTCAAGCAAAGAAATCTATCCATTCATTGTCATAGACGAGATAATAAAAGCTAGCGTGCGAGACTAAATCTATATTCAGTAACACCCACACTCTTTATAGAGCATCGAAAATATAATTAAGAAATAGTCTCTGTTGAACATGTTTTTTGACTTATTGTTTTTAAAAACAATGTTTGCAGGGATATAAAGGATTTATTTAGATGAGAACATCTTATCGTGATTGAATCCCATTGAAGTTTTTTTTGTTCTTTTGTGTGTTTAGCGTGCTTTTAAAGTCAATTGTTAGTTGATAGGAAAAAAAAAGAAGCTAAGAAAGTAAAAAATAATAGAGAGATATTATATTTCAAGAGAAACTAATTGAAAGCAAGCTCGGATTCAATTAATCGTCATTTTCTTTACTTTTCCCAGTACGATCTACAGAAAATATTTTCCGTTATGGATGCAGAAGAATTTCGACAACGAGGTAAGATGTCTAGAATGTGCTAATTTACTATTTGATAAGAAATTTTATTTAGGAAAAGAAATGGTTGATTTTATTGCTGATTATTTAACAAATGTTCGATCACGACGTGTATTTCCAAATGTGAAACCAGGTTATATGCGACCATTGATTGATGCTGAAGCGCCAAGACATGGTGAACCATGGGAAAATATTTTTAACGATATCGAACGTGTAATCATGCCCGGAGTATGTATCTAATGCGAATTAATATTCTTGTTAAAGATTCCATCGATCCATCTATAGGTTACACATTGGCAATCTCCTTATATGCATGCTTATTTTCCAGCTTTGAATTCATATCCATCATTACTCGGAGTATAATACAAATAAGTCGATATCTTGTTTTCTACGTAGAGTTTTTGTTTTTAGGATATGCTAGCAAACGGTTTGAATCAAATTGGATTTACTTGGGTATGTAGAAAAAATTAATTGTCTCTCTCTCACTCTCTTTCCATGATTTATTTCATTCAAAAAATTATTTTTCGCGCTATTTTATAGGTTAAAGTCGTATCGAAGTTACTATAATTAGAGTATTTGATCCACTGGGTCCGAGTTATTCAAGGAATTGACTTAATTATGTAGAATGTATTAATTATTTTCGTAGCATAAAAATCGTTGGCAATGATTTTAATCTATTTCATGGCCAAAGCTACTAACGAGCTATTTTTGTAATTTAATATGCATCAGAAGTTGTTTTTTTTTTCATAACTTAGCCCAATTTCACTGCAGCTGTAGAAAAGGTAAATTAAAGATAATGGATAAACAAGAACCAGTGTTGAATTCAAGTTCATATTACGAACTAAGAGATTAAAAAGATAAAAGTAACGTTCGGAAATGTGAAATCAATTACATATCTGTCCCACGCACGTAAAAAAAACAATGCCTATTGAAAGTTAAACATAAGAATATCTATTAATAAGAGATTTGTTTTTGAACAGGCATCAAGTCCAGCATGCACTGAATTAGAAACAGTTGTTATGGATTGGTTAGCAAAAATGATTGGTTTGCCAGATGATTTTCTACATTCACATGCAGATACAACAGGTGGAGGAGTGATTCAAGTAAGTCGATCGGTTTACTTTGCTTGGTTAACTATTGAAAAATGTCTAGACAACGGCTTCTGAAGCAACACTTGTTGCATTACTTGCTGCTCGAAAGGAGGCTATTCATCGAGTCCAAGCTCAATTTCCTTATTTAAGTCCAGCTGAAATCAACGGACGCCTTGTCGCTTATTGTTCTGATCAAGCTCATTCATCAGTCGAAAAAGCTTGTCTTATTGGGCTGGTTAAATTAAACCTTGTGCCCAGTGACGATAAATTACGTTTACGTGGTAATGCATTACGGCAAGCCATTGCTAAAGATAAAGAAAATGGTCTTATTCCATTTTATGTATGTAAAATGTTCTTTGAATTCTCGGATGTTTTACTTTTGTTAAAACCTTTAGCTTTGCGCCACATTGGGTACTACAGGAGCTTGCGCTTTTGATAATCTGGTTGAACTTGGTCCGATCTGTGAGTTATATTGATTAGCGCAGTTGAATTATTTTACTGATTTAAATAGGCCAACGAGAAAATATATGGATACATGTCGATGCAGCTTATGCTGGAAGTGCTTTGATTTGTCCGGAATTTCGACATTTGATGAATGGTATTGAATTAACACAGTCGTTTGCATTTAATCCATCAAAATGGATGATGGTAAGTGATGCGTTTTCAATTTTCGTTTTTAATTTGAAATATTTACTTAGGTTCATTTTGATTGTACTGCTATGTGGTGAGATTCGATTTATGCAGAGTATCGCACTCTTTTTCTTTTGGTCTGATATTTCTATAGGGTAAAATCGAGTGCAGCATTGCATCGAGCATTTAATGTCGACCCGTTGTATCTGAAACATGAAAATGCAGGTGTAGCCATTGATTATATGGTACGATTCAAGAATATTCATTATGATTATTATTATTTATTCGAGAGTTTTCCTTTTCAGCATTGGCAAGTACCATTGAGTCGACGATTTCGCGCTTTGAAACTCTGGTTTGTAATTCGTTCGTATGGTGTTGAAGGTCTTCAAAAACATATACGAAGTGTAAGAAATTAATTTCATTCTATTATTAACACCGAGGTTATTACGGCATTTAGCTTTTTAATATTAAATCGTTGAGAAAAATAGTTCAACTAGATTGATATGAACATTCTATTTTTAGGGTGTTCGAATGGGTTCATTATTTGAATCGTTCGTTACAACTGATGCTCGCTTTGAAGTATCGGCTGAACGTCATCTTGGTCTTGTTACATTTCGATTAAAAGTATAGAAAATATTTGCTTGCATATTTTCTTATTTTTGTTTTCAAGGGTGAAAATGAATTAACTGAACAGCTGTTAAAGGAAATAAATCGTGGCGGATTAATTCATTGCGTACCTGCGTCGATTAAAGGAAAATATATAATTCGTTTTACAGTAACAGCGACATCAACTAATGTAGATGATATTAAACGCGACTGGAATATAATACAAGAATCAGCCAGTAAAATTCTTCGGCCACTTGATGGTTTATCATTACAAGAACGAAGGAATCAAATGAAATATCTACATGATGATTTCCGCATGTCGCTTGTTCTATCGAATACACCGCATAGTCCGTGTTTGATTAATGGAAGTTTTGCTGCTATACTTCCACTAAATACAAATCATATCTATGCCATGACACATGAGTTATGCCAGCGTGATTTAAAACATTCTCTTCTACCTATATCAAGACGAAAACGAACAAAAAATATTCTGAATCATTCAAAAATTGAAAAACAAATGAGTATCGATGGCCGGATGATACATAGCGGACAAGAAAATAAGTATTTCTTTTCATCATTACCAATTAGTCGTCAAGGAAGTTTAGATTCGCAAATTGAAGAAATTTTAAAGAATAACTCTATGGATGACAACAATAAAACATATAATGGGCCGACACTTGCATCAGCGAATGATCATTCTGAAAATCATCTCAATATACCAGCGATCCATGAATAAAAACAAAATTTTTCCTTTTCATTTGTTGTATTTCATTTTATGAGATAAAAATAAACTAAAACTTCTGCCGACGTCACGTAAAAATTAATCTCTAAAGGTGAGAATAGCTCATCAAAATCTGTAACGGCAAGAAGCCATAAAAAAAGAAAGGACAAACACGTTTTTCTCAAATAAATCTAAGAGTGTCATCTTTTTTCTTTTAATCCACAATAGAAAAACAGATGTAGCATCCCGGCACGTCATTCTGCTTTTCTATTTTGTTTTTCATGCGCTTACAATTAGGTATGCTTTCACATTGCGACAACCTTGATTGGCTAATATCAGCATGATAGAAAAAAATAGCTAACTACTTGATGTTAAATAAATGATAGGTTCATGTTTATATAATTGTTTTTTAATAAACCAAGTAAGTAAATTCATGGTAAAAAGAAAAACTGCGGAAACATCGGATTTGCATCCGATTGTTATGTGTACTGCAAAAACAGAGTCGATTTATATATGTTGTGAATAGTACTGAGAAAAAAATGTTTTTTGAAAAAATCCCTGTACTCCCCCTCAAGGATGGTCTGGTCAATTATGACAATTTTTTCGATAACTCAGCCATTTCTTGGCGGATCCCTCTCGTCTTCGAACTCGACTGAGATATTGATGAGATCATTCTGTGTACAAAATTTCATGACAATCAGATCAGTCTTTCAGGAGCCACCGTGTAAACGGCCGGACACACTGACGGATTCTATAGTGTACTCACTTTTGTTTTTTGAGTACACAAAAAGATTCCCTACCGGCAGCAGTGTCACTTTTTCTTTTGTTGGGCTGCATTTTAAGTTCAATTTAACATAATTATAAAAAGATACATTGACACATGATTCTCAAAGAGGTTTTTTGTCGAGTGTGAGTTTTCATTATTAGTTATTCTAGAAGATTTATGAATAGGATGCCTAGAAAGCTGCGTACATGTTTCTTTTTTGTCTTTCAATGTCTGACGTTTTACAAAAATTTTAATATGTGTAACTCAACCGTCATGAAACTCGTTTCCATCTATTACTAATACCAGATATTCTATTTTTTATCCTTCTTTTAAATTAAACTTGATACAAAATAAATTCGAGGCAGATGCAATTCTTTTCATTTGAACGAGAAACTCCGTAACTTGTCATGAACTTGCGACCAGCAAAAACGCATTTATTTCTTCCTAAAAAATGGAACAGCGTCAGAGATCTTTCCAATAGAAATTACATTTTAATTGGTTCGTGATTAATAAAGCTTCTCTCATTTAGACAACTCTTTAACTAAAACATGGAAGAAAATCTCTTATATATAATATACTCAAGGAGAGAGTAAAGCTGATATTAACGAAGAAGTGAAGTGAAGTGAAACAGAAATGTGTTTGCTAAAAGAATAATAGTTATAAGCTCGTCATTTTTGCGCTGTTTGATACTTTTTTCTATTAGAGCATTAGTATTACCTGTGCACGCGCATTAATGGAGAGAAGAAAGAAAGAGAGAGAGAGAGAGAGAGAGGGGCGGGGAGGGGGAGGGGAGGGAAAGAAAAGAAGGATTATACACTCAACTAATGAAGGATGTTTTCATTCGAAATTCTCGTCGACTTCTGACGCATGAGAATAAAAGTTTTTCAGATATCTTTGGTTTTTCTTTTATCGTTGATTAAATTTTATAAACAATTCTGATGGATAATAATAATGGCCGTCATCGACATGGCAGTTCTATTATGTTTCTTGACGAGTTTCGAGCACTGTTTATCAAAACATTTCTTTTAACTATAAGAAAACCGGGTCAAACCATCGCCGAAATTTTATTAGCATATACATTTATGGGTTTTCTACTTGGTATGCGCTATATTCTTGATCGGCAGTATAATACGGCTTATCAAATTCCACGTTTTCGACCACAAGATATGTTATCAATAAGTGGCGCTGGTAATAGTATTTATTATTATCCAGGTTTGCTTTTAATTTGATAGAAATTTAGTTCACAATTAGTTATTTTTAATAGAAAATATTTGTGCGAAAACAATTGTCAACAATACTGTAGATAATCTAAGAATACGATGGCCTAGTTTTCCTAATAGAAGTACGTGTTATAGTAACTTGTTATATTCCTAAAATTAATTGTTCTACAGCCCAAGTGATACCTGATCCAACACTTTCAACATTGTCGAATACAACTTTACAATCAATCATTGCTTATATTCAATTTACTAATCTCGATCTATGTACAAGTCCATCAGCGATGCCAGATGAAGTTAAATACACTCTACGCATGCAAGAGTATATCGTGAAATTCATTGTTTCCCTTTTTTTTCTTACTTTCATTGTTTTTAGAAATGGTCCAAACTATTTTCACGCTCAGTCTGTAAAAATTTCACCAAATGATTATCTATGGAAACGTGCTCCCGAAGATTTCTGTCAAGGTATTTTATAAAAATGATTTTTCAAATATTGGCGCAAATTTTGTGTCTTTAAATTTATATTAAGACATTTCCAGTATCAATTTATATATTTCACAATTTGTTGGTATTCAATATTTCATAGATATGTCAATTATTCAATATGTTACAAATGCCGCTCAAAACCTATCATCTAGTGTGAGTACTAATCGAAGAATTTATATTCAATTAGACAAATGTATCGTAATGGTTGATTTGAAATAGATTTTCTTGAATCATTTTGGTTGTCCTGAATACTATGCGGATCAATTACATTCAGTTTATGGCTTTTTCATTCCTATATTTTTCTCGATTATTTTTCTTGTTACATTCATCATGAATGTTGGTTATATTGTTAACGAAAGAGAAAATAAGACTAAGGTAAAAGACGAATCACTTGGTTGTCATCTTGATCTTATTGAAATATGTATATATGTCAATAGGAATATTTACGTATCTATGGTCTTCGTACATGGCTCAATAATTTAGTATGGATGATACGGTCGATGCTAATATTTTTTGTTCTTTCTGGAGTTGTAACAGGATTAAGCATAATGGTTCTACCGAGTGGTAATGCAGGAAATAATAGTGTTCGTAAAGCTATATTTAATTATGCACATTGGACATTGATTTGGACGATTCTATTTGTATATTCAATACAAGTTTCAGCTTTTAGCGTTTTCTTTGGACAATTTTTTAAAAATCGTAAGTGGCAACAAATAGTTTTTGTTTTTGTTTCAATTGATTTGTTTTTCAAACTGAAGCATTTCTTGCCAAATTAATTGCCTTTGCTGTATGGGTAGTAACATTGATTGATTTTTATCCTGGCGTATCAGTTGGCGTACGATATTTTTTATGTTTATTTCCGAATACGGGGCTCATGTTTTGTTTACAAGTTGTTTTACAATATGAACGGGACGGTAGTAGAATTTTCTGTTCATTGAAAAATGAAAATAAACAATTTTTAGGTGGTATGGCAACATTTAAACAAATGTATTCAAATGAATTTGCAAATCCGTTGTATATTGGTGTTTGCCTTATTTTGATGCTTATCTATTCGGTAATTTACTTTCTATTGGCAATTTATGTTGAACGTGTAAATCCGGGTGAATTTGGAGTGTCACAACCGTGGAATTATCTATTTAAAAAATCCTATTGGAAGCCTCAGAAAACATCGAGCGTTCAGCCATTTGATAATTGTGATATTTTAGCCTATAAAAATAATGGAATTTATGGTAGTAATTGTTGGATTGAATTAAATACAATTGTAGATTCAGCGATACCGTCATTAACAGTATCAAATTTATCAAAAGTAAGTTAAAACTAAATTTTAGATTTTAATATTTTTTTTTTCGTATAGAAATTTGGAAAAATTCAAGCCGTCTCAGAATTATCATTGAAATTTTATAAAGGAGAAGTTTGCACTCTATTAGGTCACAATGGTGCCGGAAAAACAACAACAACATTTATACTTGTTGGTTCGTTTTTATGCGTAGAATAATATTTTGATATCACAAGTTCAAGAACTTCTTTTTTCAGGTATGTTAGAACCAACATCAGGTCACGTTACTATTGAAGGATTAGATAGCCGAATGCATATTGAACAAATTCGAAAGATTCTTGGTTTTTGCCCACAATATGGTAAAAAAAGCGTTTTTTGGAGAAAAACTCATTTGTTATCTTTATTTTAGATATTCTTTATGATGATTTGTCCGTGCAAGAACATCTAGAATTAATTGGAAAGGTATCTACGCAGCTGAGAATAAGATTTAGTTAATTTGATCATGTCTAGAGTATATAGACAAAGTCATTATATATTAATACAATGAGCATGAGCGACGTTTGTCAATTCAAAGAAGTACAACGGGCGAAATAAAATGAATCATTTGACTAATCGGCATGACCAAAGTGCAAATAAAGATTTATTTCCTATTCTATCAGCTTTCATAGATCATACGTCCAATTTTTATCTTCTCCGCAGTTCAAAAACTCTTCATTTCTAATGCTCGAATTAACATCAATGGTTGTTAATTGAATATAGAAAAAAAAAATTTATTTATTTACTTATGCAGCAAAGCTGTGATCCGAGAAGGATCCTTCCAGCACCGGGAATAAAGAAGAAAAGAATGAGAAAAAAGAAAATGGTGGAGAGAAGATATAAAGTTATAATCCGAAGACGACATAAACATAAACAACCATGACTGAAACAGCAAATAAAACAAACAATGAAGACAATAACAAAAAAGTCACACCGAAAGAGAAAGTGAAAATGCGTTGCAACATAGTAGAGAACAAGAACAGAAATAAGCGAGTTATCAATACGGGGATCAGAATGTTTCAGGATAGTATTGGAGAAGTTGAACTTCTTCCATCTCGGAGAAGGGAATAGAAGAAGAACCAGGGACCGACCTGAGCCATGACATGATTTTTCCGATAATTGATGTATGGCTGATGAATCTATATAGAAAATGTTGTTCAAAAAGATTTACATCTTACTAGATAAAAATACTGCCGAGAAGGAATAGACTAATTAACTATTAATTACTGTCATTGATCGTTAGATACGCCATATGGAACCAACGCACATGAATGAATCCATTGAAACAATCATTCGTCTAATTGGATTAGTCAGCGATCGACAAACATTATCAAAGAAACTATCCGGTGGTATGAAACGTCGTTTATCAATTGGCATTTCATTGATGGGCGATCCAAAAGTAATATCTAATCCTGTTTCGCTTCTAAATAGAAGTATTGATTATTTCAGGTTTTAATTCTCGATGAACCAACAAGTGGGATTGGTGAGTATTGTGATACAAAATTTCTTCTATTCTCTTCCCTTACGCCAACGCAGACCGTTTTCAAGTCGCAGGAATTGTACTAGCGGTTGTTTTTTTTTCTTTCTTTTTAAAGATCCATATAATCGTCGTTTAATTTGGACCATCATTCGTAAAATGAAAGAAGCTGGGAAATGTATTATTCTAACAACTCATTTTCTTCAAGAAGCTGATGCTTTATCTGATCGTATTGCTATTATGTCACATGGCTGTCTTCAAGCCAATGGAACACCTGAATTTCTTAAAAATCGAATAGGTATTTCTCCTCTCTTTGTGAGTTGCGTTTCTATTATTAAAATTTTAGATTTTGAATATCGTTTATTTATCGCGAAAAATGAAACCTATCAAAATGAACGTATAACTGCATTCATTCAAAGATACATACCAATGATTGCATTAGAACGTGAATCTATATCGGAAATGATTTTTGGTATAAGACGGACTGAATCTAAATATATTGGAAAATTGATTCATGCCTTAGATGCAGTAAGTACAGATATAGGCATTGAAAGTTACGGATTATCAATGACGACAATTGAAGAAGTTTTTCTAAAGTAAGATTTTTATAGCGAATCGGAAAAAAACTATACGTCAGCAAATATTTTTATCTCGTTCAATTAGATTAATTCAAGAAGATGAACAGGGAAAAACGAATTACCAAAGTCAAACTCAAACAAGACTAGATCTAGCAAATAAAAGTAAAACAAACTCAGTCTTTTTTTGGTATTTTCGATTGCTAAATCATTTATACTGTCTTAGTTTTCCGTGCTGAATATGAATATGAGCAAGGCGTACGTCGATTTTGTTGTCGAATTTGTGCACTGCTTATAAAACGCTGGCATGTTTTACGTCGACAATATGTTTTTTTATTTGGCTTTTTCCTCGTTCCTATCTTAATGGAAATTTTAATTGTCAGTGTTTTCCCATCACCGCAAGATATTCAAGCATCACTAGTACAAAACAATCGAGTTATAGGTGCACAAGTTACATTACTACCATCAATATATAATCCACATACTATTGTGATCTATTCCAATGACAGTACAATGACAGCTCAAATACGTTTCCTTGATTATATTCAAAATACCGGTGCAACTATTGAGCAAATATCTACCAATAATGCAATTAAGTATGTGACCGATGAATGTTCAACAAATGAGCAATTCTTTATCAATAAATATCAAATCGGCTTTGCACTTTATAATAATCTTACGACGTCTTTAATATTTGATAGCTATTTTTCAACAGTAAACTATCATGCAATGGCGACCAGTCTTAGTGCTGCGTCAACAAGTCTATTTCAATTCTATGCAAATTCTTCAGCTAAGAAAATTATAACAACTAATCAACCAATAATAACATCGACAACAGCATATGCAACTTTACAACGATTTTTTGAACTTATCTATTGTTTTGATACAATACCATTGGCATTATTTAATTTTTTGAACAGTATTCTTGCAGCACTATTCATTAGTATTCTGATTGTACCATCCATTCAAGAACGCATCAATCATTCAAAAGATTTACAATTATTAACGAATTTAACTAAAAAAACTTACTGGTTTTCAAATATAACATTTGATTTATTGGCGTGCTTTTTACTTTGTACTCTATTAACAACTATCGTTAGGGTAAAAAAGCAATATATTTTTACTTTCAAAAGTATAGTTCTTCATTTTTTTGCCCATTTAGATCGGTTCTCTTGCTAATCCAAATGTAGAATCGGAAGTTCATATATATATAAATTCAGAGCAAATGGGATATTTTTTTCTAATGATTATTATGTATTCATTGGCTTCGTTACCACTCATTTATGTTTATTCATTTAGTCCCCGATCTGAATTAATTGGTTTTATTAACTTCTTTGTTGTTAATACTGTTGCTTGTTTTTTTGATATGGTATTGGCATTTATTGCAGTATTTTCACAAGGACAATCAACAAGCACAACTCGTGTTGCACGATTAACTTCGATTGTAAATTTAATTCGCTGGGTTATTGCAGCTTTTTTCCCTTGTGTCAATTATAAACGTGCATTATATAATATTCGTTTAAAATCAAACCAAGAATGTGTTTCGGCCGTCAATTCCCTTATGCTTACTAATGATTCAGTGACTGAGCCATGGATGTCAACTCATGAACCGGGTGTCGGTAGTCAATTTATTATTTTTTGTATTCAAATCTTTTTTTGGTCAATGATTTTAATTTTAATCGAGTCCGGAACTAATATTAAACTAGGATGTCGACGATGTTGTGGTCGTAAAAATGATCTAGCAGAAACAGATACTAGAAGTCCATTGGACGATGTCGAAGGTGCAATAACAAAACAATGGAATGATGAGGTACGATAAATGCTAGTTTTTGTTCTTTATGTTCGATAAAATGATTCAAATTATTCTATGATAGAATCTCGATGAAGATGTTCGCAATGAACGTCGATTGTTAAAAGAAGAAGCTAATCTATTGGCATCATCGGTTATTCTTGTTCGTGATCTTGTAAAACGCTTTAAAAAACGTAAAGAAAAATCATTACATCGACGCATTTTTACAGCTGTGGATCATCTCAATTTTCATGTTACACATCGATCTTGTTTTGGTTTATTAGGCACGTATAATATCAGTAGTTTTACTTATGAGAATTATGCAAGAGATGAAAAACGAATAAGATGAAAGAAGTCCTTTTGTCGAAGATATTATAATGGAAAATGATTTATATGTATATTTTCAGGAGCAAATGGTGCTGGTAAAACAACAACATTTCGTATGTTAATCAATGATTTGAAATCTACATCGGGTGAAATTATTATCAATGGAAAAGATATAAATAAGAAGGTGAATGATTGTTTTTCTATTTGTTATTACTCATATATATTGAATTGGCTGTTTTAGGAAAGAGATCTCGATATTGGTTTTTGTCCACAATTCGATTGGTTAATCAATGATCTCACTGTTATTGAAATATTACTCCTGTTTGCTAGGTAAATTAATATTGTTTTTCATGTTTCTTTCTTTTTTGCTACTGCTCGTGTAGATTAAAAGGTTTGAAATGGTCGGAAATACCAACAATGTGTAATCATATGATTGAATTATTTGGTCTCGATATTTATGAAACTCGAAAAATACGAAACTTAAGGTAGATTCATTTCGCTTTCGTTATAAACGAGTTAATCTGCATTTTTTTGTTTCTCCTCGATTAAATCTAGCGGTGGAAATAAACGAAAAGTAAGTGCAGCATTAGCATTTATAGCTAATCCATCATTAGTGCTCCTCGATGAACCGACAACAGTAAGACTTCAATAGGAAAATATCATTGAGGATTTGCATCGTTGTTAATAGGGTTTAGATGCAGCCGCTAAACGGAAATTGTGGGATGTCATTCGAGCAGCTCGCGATGCTGGTCTCACTATTATTTTGACAAGTCATAGGTAAACAGGCAAAAATAGAAACATAGGTTTTTCGAATCCAGTCAGTTTTGTTTTTATTTCTCTAGCATGGAAGAATGTGAAGCACTATGTACAAGTAAATGTTGACACGGAACATATGAGAATGTTAATCAAATTTTTTCTTTCCGTTTTTTAATCGTAGAAATTGGTATTATGAAATTAGGACAATTTATGTGCCTTGGAAATTTACAAAGATTGAAGAATCGTTTCGGAAATGGTTATGTTGTACAAGTCAAACTACCCTTGCAGGATATAGAAATATTCAAACAAGAATTAATGTTAACTCTACCCGGTGTTCAAATTGACGGTAAGGTCATTTTTATTCTAATGAAATCGTATATTTTCTTTTTCTTTTGTGTAGAACAACATAATGGAATCCTATTTTGTACGGTGCCATTTTCGTCGATTAGTCCTGCTCAGAGTCATGCAAGTTCAAGTTCCTCGAGACTAGCACATGTCTTCGATTTATTTCACAAGAAAAAAGAAGAAAAATCCATTGAAAGTTACTCCATAACACAAACAACGCTCGAACAAATATTTATTCATCTTTCTGGAGAAGATCAATATATTAATACAGATGAAAAAAAAAATAAATGATTTTCATTCGGTTGATTCGAATAGGTTTTTTTTTGTTATTTATATTGTATAAAATATTCTTATTTATACACACATTAAATATAACGAGGGGATTTTCTTTTTTCTCGATAATCATTAATATTCATACGCAATCGATTCATGCATTTTTTTTCTTTTTCTTCTGACACACATCTGCGAGAATGTTTATCACCGATCTAGTTAATTAAGCTAGAATCAATCGCGCCAGTTTGACTCATCCACTATTATCCGGATAGAAGAAAAAGATGTTCATATCTATAACTGTTTTGTCCAATAGTTCATTCGTTCTTGCTCGAGTGTTTTTTTACTTGACATATACGATGAATATAATTATAATGTGCTATATACGCACAATATAACAAAACTGTATTAACCATATCTATCAATATATATATATATATATATATATAGTTACACGCGCTCAACCTTCTGAATATGCTAACCTATTAACTGATTTTTTCCGTCCTACAAAAACATTACAGGGCGCAATAATCATTAGATCAAAAGGAAAGAAAGAGCTATTGACGATAGTTCGTATAAGTAGTGTTTGTCTGATTCATTCTACTATACCAAAAAAAAAGGACAACATCACTTGTCCTTGTCGATTCTTTTTATATATATGTACAAGTAGATACACACAAATATTGGCATAAAAACTTTCTATAGACAAAGGCAAATGTGCATAGCAAATTCTCATCACCAAGGTTAATGGTATACACATGGGCACAGATGCTAATATACATTTAATAGAAAATGACTACGGTAAAATAACTAATTCTCTTGTTATTATTTTTTGTTATATTTCAGCCTGAAGTTACATCATCAATGATACTACTCTTCTATTTTACCATCATCGACAACTGTAAAAATGATGAATAAAAGAAGTGTTTAAAGGTCGTCACAGTAGTAAATCTATTGCTGCTGTTGCTGCTGTTGCTCATCATCGTAGAGTGATTGATCTATCTAATCGAATCTGTTTTTCATTAGTTCATAAAATAAAAACGATGAATAAAGCCTTTTCTGCCTGTTCTTTAGACGTGTAGTTTTTTCTTCTTCTTGTATATCAGACAGATAGATAAAACAACGCATACAACAATGAGTAGGTGGAACATGAGATGGAGGATATCAACATCTTTTGTTTTGTGTGAACGTACGGAAGCTGTTGTAGCTCTTGTGATAGGGATGGGAAGAAGAAGAAGAAAACGAAGAAGAGAAAAAGGGAGGAGAAGACAAACACAAGAATATATGTGCATTTGCTTATTATCGTTTTGATATACCACGTATATGCACACGCCTATAGACATAGTGACCGCTTGTGAGTACGTAGTCGGGCAGTCATAATATTCAATTTTTTTATTTTTTCGTTACTATACACAAAGAGAGCTTGATAATGTCCAGTAAAACTGGCGGAGCGAGAGAGAGAGAGAGAGAGGGGGAGGTCAATGTCATCAACAAAACCGGTAAGAATACATGACGATTATATCGTTATTTCTTATCGTTCTGTTTCTTTTTTCTTGTCGTCTTTTTTTGTATTCATCAATTCAATTTTGTGAACTTTAGTCGGTAGATTTTTTTTTCTTCTTCGCATATAGGTGATGTAAGTAAGTATGTCGCTTACGCTACTCATACATTCTTTCTTTTTCTTTTGTCTACATCTGGAAGTATGGGTAGGTAACGCATTAGCATAGACAGCCGATTGCTATAAGCATTGTCTTATCGTATGGACGAAACCAATGATTTCCCATTTGGATGTTATACAGCAGAGAAGTTCACTTCTTTCTTTTCAGTTGTGCGTAATCACATTGACTTGCATATACACATCTTGCCTTCATTCTATTATAAACAGCATCGTCAGTATTTATTTTCTCTCTCTCTCTCTCTCTCTCTCTCTCTCTGTCTCTTTTGTTTATGTATCCTATCGTCAATTACTCTTGAATTCAGCTAGATTCCATCATTTTTTTTTAGTATTTCTATTTCTATCGATTATATTTCCTTAACAATAATATCAACATTAATATCTAGTAATATTGTAAATTGATGATAAATATGATCGTTTGCGTTAAATACATATAAGTTAGTCATATAAAAAAGGAAACCATTAATCTCAAAACGATTCGGTTTATACTCAGCATGGTGATCGAATTTCTTGTCTCAAATATCTAATTGGAGTACTTTGTTTTAAAAACAGTTTTTTCTCTTCATTACTTTTTAGATGCCAGATACGGCTAGCATTAATCAGTTACCATTGCGTACAACAGGTAGTACGCGTTGGCCAAGAAAATGGTCAACCATTGGTGGACGTGGTGCGACTTCATCATCAACAACCATGATACCAACAGTCGATTCAGATTCAACTGAGAATCCTGTACAAACTCATAATAATAATCATCGTCATTCGACATCGTTATTACGTAAATCATCAACGATAAGTCGAACAAATGATAAATCAAATCCATCTAATGAAAATCTTGATCCAACATTGAAAAAATCTCGTTCATTAATGAATGTTCTACGTTCAAAATTTAATTCACCAGCTGTACTACGTCGTTTCCGTTCGAAATCACGTGAAAGTACAAAACAAGCCGTGACAGAAGTTGCTAATGGACACACGCCAAATGAACAATCAGAAGTAAAACAATCAAATGACGAACAAATATCGACAAGAAAATCAAGAAAACGTGACCCATCACCTATAAAACGTTTTACCAATTGTATTTCACAATTAACCCGACATCAAAGAGCAAAATCAACGGACAGACCAAGTAATTATTATTTTTTTCTTTCTCGATTGGTTTGAATATTACAAACAAATATTTATTATTCTTTAGAACAATCACCGTCAAAATCAATTATAAATGATTTACAGAATGAAAAAAGAAAATCGCCATCACCATCGCCAGTTAATAATCAAGATAAAGTTGATCGTATAAATGCTTGTTATGATGAAATTCGTGCTAAATATTTCACTGATAATGATACAAAAAAACGCAATGCATTAAATGATGATACAAACAATCGTTCGTTAAGTACAATATCAGTAAATGGTTCATTACTTAGTAATGATTTTTTAAGCAATACTCAACGTGTTCCTATCCCGATAATATCTGATGATCCATTGCTACAAGCACGAAAACAATCGAATATAAAACTAAATTGTTTACTAAGTGGTTATACATTGACAAGATCGTTTGCTAATCATGAAAAACTCTTTGGTCAAAATGATTTATTTAAATCGAATCATTTTTATGACGTGGAAAAACGAAGATATGATTGGAATTATACAAATCATAATAATAGATTATTTTCTAGTATGCGAACAAAACCAATTAGTAAAAGTATTGATAATTTCCGACATACACATACTCATGGTATGTGTAAAAGAAAACAATTCTCTATATTTATGCGGTCTTTATCGATATTTTAGATAATCAAGTGTCGGCTGTATTGGAAAAAGCTAATATTGTTAATAATAATACATTAGGTAATATTAATCGTGCGCACGAATCATGTGTTGATAGGTCGAGGAAAATTACTCTATCTACTATTTTTTGCACTGTATATGTTAAACTATCGCTTGCATTACATCATTGATTGACAAGGTTGCAACACACTGTAAAAAATGAGAAATGTTTCTCGCGGTGTCCAAGAGGAGAAAGCGCCGTACATATTGAGTAATTTTCTCGATGATGAAAATTAGTTTTAATCTCCAGCTGAGAACACGATGAATCAATGAATTGCTTTTTTTGTTATTAATTTCGAACGGTTTTCTTTTTCTATGAACGAAGATCAACATTTGTGGCAATTTACACTCATTCTTAAAACTTAGCTGTTCAAAGAAAATTTGCTTCATATAAAAGAGAAAATTTTTCTACCCATTGCTACTTATCATACGTGCCGAATTCTATTCTGTGATGACTTATTTTTAATAAATGTCTTATTGAAATCGTTTAGTGCAAAAAGAGAAGCATGAAGATGTTTCAAGAATATTGCCTAATGACAATGAACTTGTCATTTGTGAAAACAGTGATGATTTAATTGACTCAGAACAGAACATATTACATCATTCACCGAACATTGATGTAACATCAACAAGTCCTATTAATGTTACAACATTTATGCCAACATCTTCAAATCTATCCGATAAGATTAATGATTCGTCAAATGAACATCGTGCTGAAGAAATCGATGAAGAATTTGAGCAAAACTTTCTACGTGCTGTTAATCGAGCACTTGGTGTAGTTAATAAAGATCAATCTAATTTAACACAAACAGTTTATGATGAAACAAATGAAAAAGATGAGTCGCACTTGAATCTTATTCAAATGACTGAACGAGCACTTTCATCATTAAATACTACAACGTTATTTATGGTAAAAAATTTTTAAAGAATTTCGTTTTATGAATTTAAAATCGAACATTTTAATTTTAGAATGGAGATCAAAGTAACGGTAAGAAAAAGCCCTAGAACTATAAAACGTCAATGATGAGAGTTTTTCTTTTATTTAGTGCTAAGTGATAATAGTACAGAATCAACAAGTGTCGAATTAGTTGCGAGTCCCAATGAACTTTTGACTGCAAAGAACACGCTAGAAATTGTTAATGAAAATGGAACAGAAACGAGTAATGATGAAGACATTATGTCGGTTATCGAAGATTTATTGCGAAAAACTGAAGATATATTATTCGAAGAAACCAAGGTAAGTTCAATAAATGACTAACATGATTATAATCAAATGTTCACACTTCGAGCAACATCGTTGACCTTGCACGTGTTAATATAACTTTGGTAGTCTAGCGTTTTTCTCTATTGATTTCTTCTTTAACTGCCTAAATGGACAGTGTTACTATAACAGTAGAATTTTGTATTTTCTTTCTTTTGCCAGATTATTTTGTGTGTGTGTGCGTATGTTATCTTTCATTTTGTTGTGTGCTTCTTTTTTTAAAATATTCTTCTTGAACTAGCTAACGCAAGCTTGATCACGCATAAATGGCTTCGCTTTTTTGTTTTTACGAATTCATCGTTTACTAATAAAAACTGATGATAAACAAAAATTATGAGTCTGATATGATTGGTATCTTTCACCGTATTGATTGGCCTTCATAGTTATTAGTAATAGAAATAAACAAAAACATTCGAAGATAAAAACTATGGATCAAACAAATGAATGTTAATCTTATCTTGATGTGAGATGAGCATTAGATCAATGAATGTGTATCTCTATCATTGAGTTCGGGCAGTATCATCATGGGAATATAGACTTCATTTTTTTCTACAGACTGAATCATGTATTCGTCTTTTTTCTTGTTTATTAAGATAAAAGATTTTTCATTCGTTTGTTCTGGTTTGATGATGTCAAGCATGTTATAGTAGAAATAGAAAGTGCATAGTGATGAGGGTGACTCACATTTTCTAGTCTTGCTTTTTTTCTCTCGCTTCTTTCTTTTTCTTCTTAAGTCAAAGCACGCACATCACTATCGAACAAGCCTATCCAGCTCTTTCGAGAAAGCAAGTCTATACAACAATTTCGATTATATCCACGTCGTCAGTTTTTTTCTCGTTCGGTCGCTCTCTGTCTTTCTCTCTCTCTCTCTCTCTCTCTCTCTCGTTGTCACACTCTCTCGCGTTCATTTTCATCACTGCAATCACTACGTCTTTGTTTTCATCAGTCACTCTATTGCAAGTTTGTCCGTTTTTTGCCTAACAGAATGGTAAGCAGTAAACAAGTTTCCTGTTCTTTTCAAATATATTAATCTTATTTTCCTGTTGAGAATGCGTTCAATTGATCAATCTGTTTGCATATAGAATTGTCATAATAAATCTCTTTCCTTGTTTCTTTTGCTCATAAATATTTTGTTAAACAATATGTCGAAGTCAAATGCAGTAATGGTGTGTGTGTGTGTTTATTTGCAGAAGTTTTTAAAGTGTTTATTTATTTATATAAATATTATTCGTATTTAGAATGGCCGAACATTTTTGGCCAAATTGGATGATGAAGAAAAGATAATTAAATTACGAGCAGATGGATATAATAAATTACTTCAAACCGATGACAGTCGATTAACCGAAGATGGTAAATTTGAAAATAAGAAAGAAAAATGAGAATATCTTGTTTCCTGATTTTTTTATTTAGTACGCACTGATATTAATGCTGTAATCGGAGAAGTAAATTTACTATTAAAAGGTAAACTGAAACAATTTCGTGGCCTATGCGAAAGAAATGTGGTTGGTATTCTTTAAAGCTGTCTTATTGATTGATTTTTACTTCTCATTTTCTTCAGAATAAATCACCTGGTGGTGAACCCATACCTCTGGATACTGATCTCGAAGGTTTTTGGGATATAACATTTCCATTGATTGATAAGGTTAAAGAAAAATTCTCTAAGCTTGATGTACGAAAAACTAAACAATGGGCTATAATTGAAGAATATGATCCAAATGATGGTATGTTATTTATTTTGAAATAAATTTATATTTAAGTTTAATGATGATTTATGGTTTTTTTTGTAGTTAATAATCGCCCTCGGATAATCGATGATCGTCTTAAACAACTTCAACCTCAGCAAAATAAATCGAAAATTCCCGTAACAAAACCAGCGAATGATCATCTAAAAAAATTAATTCAAGAAAAACGGAAAGCAGCTGCTAATACTGCAAATCATGATATTGAAATATTTGTCGCACAGAAATAAAATCAAAATACAATAAAAACTCTTTCGATTATAGTGCAATATATAAATATAAATATCATTACGTTTTAAAAATAAAATAAAAGACAAGTTTTACGCTCTCTCTTGTGTGCTTTTGTGCGTGTCTGTTTCTTTTATTTTTCTATGTGTTCTGCAAGCAAATAAAAATAAAAACAAGAAACGTAATTAATACCTTTAACAAATATAATAGGATTTTGTTTTTTGAATAGTACGTCGACATTATTGACGAGAAAAATCATGCCTTTTTTGTTCTCATTAATCACCAAGCCTTGTTCCAGGAGGAGAAAAAGAGGTTTTCAAATAATCAACCAATAAAAAAAGAAAAGACTCCGATACTAAACTCGTGTTCTGTTATTGAAAACGACGAAATTATATTACTGATTTCATACAAGAGCTGAATCGTTGTATCTATTGTACTGAGCTTCTTTATTTTTTCTTAACCATTATTAAACCATCGATCAACGACGACTGAAGATTAATTACTCATGTCTAAACAATGCATTAATCACCATGTGGGGGTCATTTTAATAGATTGTTTTCGACAAATCAGTTGTACTCATTTTTTGCCAATGCCCTTTTCTTTTGCTGAGTTTTTGCGAGTTCCTCCTTATGTTTTCTCTCTTTTTCATAAAAACAATAGTTACAAGAAACCTAGTATAGTGTCTGTCACTGTCGTCATATATCCAATTCTTCAAATGCTAGGGATTGTCGATGTATGTCTTCTTTCTCCCGATAAATAAATAATAGTAATGGAAGATTATGCTTCCATTCCTTTATAACAATAACTAGTGTATAGCGATTGAATCATTAGTTTGTCACTGCTCGCAATAGCTGATCTTTATTCTGTTCAGACATACATATATCAGTACGAGTAAGAAGAGTTTTCTCATTGATAACGTATTATTCTAACATCTTAATAGAAATACATCGCTCGATTTTACAACTCCATTATATATACATGTTCAGGTTATTTATTTTAATTATTCTTTGTCAGGTAATGTTGTCAATTCAATTTATTTTATTTTTTTGTATTTTACAATAAACATAAATTCATAGAAAGATAGAAGAAAAAAATTCGCTGTCTCTCAGCTTTCGTCAATGCCTAATTGTGTGAATATAGCTATATGTATTGTTTATATAATATGTATTTGGTAGATTCTAATTCTTGTATTAATTTGTTTTGATGTTATAATCAAACGGTTTGATCTTATATGCTTAGCTGGAAGCATCAGACGTTATACAAACTTGACAATTATCTTTGTTTGTATTTTATAGGAAATACCGACGATAGCTTCGGCTAAAGAAAGATATCGTGTAAGTGAAAAAAATCAATCAATATTTACAGACTTGTGTTTTTTGGGCTTTTAGTCGACTCCTGTTCCATGCAAATGTGAAAAGGTAACTCTTCATTGAAGAGAGAAATAGAATTCAATAGCACTTTTTCTCTCTCTAAAGGGTGATCGAGGTGAGCAAGGTGATCCAGGCATTTGTCCAGCAAGTAAGAGAAATTAATTTCCTAGTCATGTTTACAGTATAAATACGACTATAGATTGCATTACGAGTAATAATCCAGGTGCTAAAAATTGTCTTGGTACTAATATACAGTTACAACAACTTGCTCAATCGATTCGTCAATTAGTTCTTGATACAAAAGTATAACAGATTTCTAATAGAATTTAAAAATCAAATAATGCAAGCGTATTTCTATAGCAAATAGCTGGTCAAAATGCTCGAACAGGTGCTTGTCTATGTACGACACCAATGCCAACAACAAGTACAACATCTACAACATTAAATCCGTTTTTTCTTGACTATAATACGGTAGAGATAATTTACATAACGAGAACAAATTGTACTATTATGTCTACAATGGTAACTATTTTAGTATGCTCGATTGAAAGGAGAAAAAGGTGCCAGAGGTGACAAAGGTGATGCTGGTACATCTTGTACACCAAATTACAAATTATCAACACAGGTTGAAGTCATTTTAGGGTTTTGATAAAACAAATAATAATCTATTTTAATAGTTAAATGTACGAGTCTTTCCAACATTAAAAGCAGCCATGGATGCATATTCTGATTATCCGGATCATACATATGTGCATATTGTTAACGAGCACGGCCGTTTGCAAAGTGTGCTGCTTCGAGTTCAACGAAGATTAGTACCAGTCGGATTAGACATTGCAGTAAAGCATTTTCACTACGCCGATTTGTTTTACTTGTTTATTTTCTAGCGTGCTATTCCTGTACAAAGTCAAGCATTACCAACAACATTACCCATATCGAAACGGGTAAAAATTTCTTGTCTTTTCTATAAAACTAAAATTTTAATACAATATAATCTTTTTTTTTAATTGCTTAGAAATGTTCAGTTACACTTTCATGTCCAACAGTAAATCTTTTTTTTGCTTGCTTCAAAATCTTAGATAATTCGTGCGTATCATTTTCAGCTGCATATATTTGCATTGGGCCCTAGTACACGTAAAATGTGCCATCCAACTCATCCAAATACATTTTGTTCGAAATTATCTGAATATGATACTTTATGTGAACGTGTTTCTAAGAGTAATAATTTAAAAGGTTTCTATCGTGCATTTATGTCAACAAGTACACAATGGTTAGCAAGTTTATTTGATGGTGTTTGTATGAATGCTAAAATTATTAATATGAAAGTGAGTATTTTTGTGTTTCTTTTTTCCAATAAATAAACTCTTATTTGAAGGGAAAAGTTTTGTTTGATACCTATGAAAGCATATTCGAACAAAAGGCTCCCAAAAGTGAAATTTTGGATGCAAAAGGACTTACACCAAAGTAAGTTTTCAATTCATTTTACAACTGTAATTGATTGGAGGACAAACAGAGAGAAACCTCTCAATATATATATATATATTCATATCTAACAAGTAGGCCAATAGTTCAGATTAGAGAGTATGATATTATTTAATTGAATATTAAATTTTGAATGAATGCTTTTCACTAATGGTCTCAGTAGTAAAAACGAGATATTCATAGTTTGTAATAGGAAGGTCTCCCGGGGCGTTTTTTTCGTGTAATAATATAGAAGGAAATCATTATTGGTAAACTCGTAACCTTCGCAAAGTATTTAAACCAATCAATAGAACTATTATGTTTTTCTAAAGGACGCTTTTGATCTTAATTGAATTGATATTCATTGAATATCCGAATTAGAAGAGTGGATTTAAAATGATTTTGTCTGGACGAGTAATCGATACAAAAAGACAATATGTTGTCCTTATTCTAGTGCTTACAGTCACAGTTCGCTGATCTTTGACAACATTGTCCTAAAAAGCCGATAGTTACTTTTCTATCATTTTCTGACATAAATATTAGTATTATGTAATACATGTATGCGTCATCTTATGTTCCGCACATGTACAATAGAAAGTATTTTGATTGATTCTTTTTCCGTAGTCGTTTATGAACAAATTACATGTGCTGTATATTTATTATAGATTTCAATATTGGTGGCATGGTAGTCTTCCTAATGGTACAGCATCGAGCGATACATGTAATTATGACATCAAATTTTTGTTTTTTTTGCTCAACTAGTTGCTTTCTTGTTTATTCGTTTATTTAGGCCTCGATTGGAGTCGTCAAAATGCAAGTCTATCCGGTATTGCAAGTCGCTTAGCAAATGATATAAATGGTTTATTTCATAAACAATATGTATGGCCTTGTTCACTAAGCGATGCAGATATGGGAATTTTATGTATTGAAACAAATTGTGATAAAGAAAAATATTATAAACACTAAAAACGATTTGTACTTAGACGAAAAGGATTTATTAAACGTAATTGTGTTTGAATATTTCCAAATTGTCTTCTTTGATTGGGATAGAACATTGGTGTAGTTGAATGCGCTGTTGGAAATATCATAGGTGGTGAACGAAATGGTGTAAAATGTCGATGAATAATAGACTGTTGTTGTAATGGAGAAAAGTGTTGAAAGTGATTTGTTGTACTTTGACTTCTGTGTTGTTGTTTGTTTTCAAAATGTCGAGAATCGGACTTTGTACGTTGAACACGCGGTTGTTGTTGTTGTTGATTTGGGGGATAGACAATGTTCTCTGTAATTGTTGTTGGTTGATTTGATTTTTGACGATGCGAACGATGAAATTTTGTAGGGGACGGTGGTAAATGAAATTCTTTTGGTCGTTGACGAGTAAATTTTGGTGCATGCATCGATTGAAAAAATGGATCGGCCATATTTTGAAAACGTGGTGCTGTTGGCGACGATTGAGCAAAGTTATCATTCACCGTTGGTACGAATGAACGTGAACGAGCTTTTGGATACGCATTTGGATTGTATCTCTTAAAATATTGAGAAAGAAAAATGAGAAAGATTTTATTTAATAATAAGCATTATTGAAATACCCATTGAAAATTTAGATTTGTTGGTGGAGTAAATGGATTTTTCGTTTGAAAGGGATGATCTCTTGGAAAAAATCTTTGTTGAAAACATGGTGGTGTCTGTGTCACTGGATATTGACGTGAGAAATTCGGCATGGGACATGCTCGCGATGGTTTTGGTTCATCTCGATGGTCGGGTTTTTGTCGACGATATTTCATTTTATTTCTACGACGTCGATTCGAACGTGCTGTTGATGTTGATGATAGTTGAGAAACTGATGACGATGCATGTTTTGTTCGACGACGTTGAGGACTTGATGTTCGAGAATGATTTTCATCTTGTGTTTGAGGTACTTCGTCCTGTGCTGGAGACATTGGTGGAGTGATTAAAGATGCTGCAGCTGCTTTTGATTCGATATTGGCATTGTAGGCTTGTTGCTGATAAATTTTCGGTTCTTCATCGGGCTCTTCTACGACAACGACACTAAAATATAAAAATTGATTTAAGATTTATTTTTATTCAAAAAAATAATACGATAGAAACAATTCAAGAGAATGTCATCGAGAGTCTTACCCAGGCTTTTTTGTATCCGTACTGTTACTGTCGTCTGCATTACTATTGTGATGAGATGAGCGATTATTAAATGTTTTTTCAAAATTTTGTCTTAAATTCCGAACAAATTTATTTAATTCCTTTTCGTTACTAAATTCTTGTTCTACAAAAACACGTTGTTGATCACCGTTAGGTCCAATATGAACTTTGGTTAATTGAATCTAAACGAAAGAGAAAACATTTTTATGAAAGAAAAACTGAAAGTTGCCATTACAGTTATACGATTATCACTTGTTTTAATAGGATCAGTCATAAAATAAGATGTTGCCTTATCTTGAAAATGAAAAGCGGGTGTTCGTCGATGTTTCTGTTGTTGTGTTCGAGTCATATTTTGTCTCCATCGCTGTTGTTGTTCACAATTGAGAGTATTAAAATCAAAAAATTGATTTCTACCTGGTGGTATGGATGCAAAACCATGGCGTGGCATTGAAAAACGTTCGAAATCACGGTTAAAATTTAAGTTATGTGTACTTTGATTCACAGCATGACCATTCGAACGAAAAAACATCGGACGAGGTGGCATGAAATGATTTGTTGGGCCACGATTATTTGGAAAAGTTTGTTGGTTTTGCTGATGAGGATAAAACGGATGCTGAAACATGATGATTTGACTTTTGATAACCGACGTATTTCGCGCTCACTCTTCTTACTGAGTAGCTAAAGTACACATCATCGAGCAAAAATGGACACCTCCATTAATCATTTTGATGCGTATATACTATATATTCGGTCGTTGGGTTAATGGTTATGTGATGAAAGTGTCAGCATATAGTCGAATAGGTACAACGGTGTGTGCATGTGTGTGTCTTATTCAATTTTTTTATTCTCTCTGTCGCTCTCTGTATCTTCCTTTTAACTAGCGCAAGTAGCTCGTGACAGTGTTGTCGATTTGTTTTCTTTTCGGGTTTCATATGAAAATGTTGAACAAAAAAGTTGTCATGGTCGATTGAACATCACATAGATATGTATATGTTGAGAAAAAGAAAAGACAAACTATTCCCTATCACCATCATTATTATCATCGTCAGCGCATTGGTAACTTGAAGCAGTGTGATAATAGTTATATATAAAAAAAAAAAGGAAAAGAAGAAGCAGATGAAAATGTTCATTTGATGATGTATATGAAGAAAAGAATGTGTCAGTGTCAAATAAAATGCAATCAAATACGAGTAGTTCATGATAATCATTGCATCTTGTACTTGACTTATATGTGCGTCGGAGTAGGAAAAAAATCGGCTTCAACTTTGATAAAATATATTTATATTAAAAACAATACTACCTTGATGGTTCAAATGAGTTAACTTCACTGATCATTTGATAATGTCAGTAGATTTTTTCATCATTAGGAGTATAGAAAAATTGTAGTAAGTGCAGTCAGATTCAATCTATGACTTCTTTAGTGTAAATCAATAAAATATTCACTTGAAAGCATATTTTATATTCTTTCAATGATGACAGAAAGTTGGTAGTAGTAGTAGTTAAAAAAAATATTAATTGACCCATAGTACTAGATCGATCGTAGGTCAAATGTCATGTTCATTTGTGACGTCCGTGTTTTTTTTTCATCGAATCGATCTAACATTGAAACTAATTATAACATTAATCAATCGTTAAAAAATCTGTACAATCATGAAAAGTCAATATCCTCTTAAACATAATCCGTAGATCATAGCGTATGATTAGTGACAGTTCAAAGATTTTATCAATTTTGAAAAAAAAATGAAAGAGAAATCTCTGCAGAATATCATCAGCGATGATTAATTTTCCATTGAAAATCAAATTCTTGTCATACGACTTTGATACTACATTGCCTTAGATTTAATTATTTATTTATTTTTAAAAAGCACATGTGAAAAAATGAAATTGCCCATAGCCATGTAACTGAACCAAGTTACAACCTCCATGACTCGTGAATACTTGATATACTACGTAAAAAGAATTAAAGTTTCTTGTAAATATATGTTTTATATATTAAAAAACGTTTTCTAAGAAAAAACGATATGGATTTAAAATTCGTTTATTTATTGGTTGATTGTATACCAATCAAGAGATGCTATCCGCTGATCTATACACGTCGAAGTATTGGCTCGCCCTATTTACCTTCATCTGTTGTTGTTTTTCTTCCTCTAGACGGCAAAGTTTACAACATATTGAAATCACAGAAATGGCTCCACCAAAATTTTCTGATCTTAACAAACAAGTTTCCGACATTTTCAATAAAGGATTCTGTACGAGTTATTTTTCCTTTAGTAAATATGTCTTCCAATTTTATCTTTCTTCCTAGTTTTTAATGTATTCAAACTTGACGTTAAAACTCGTACAGCCAATGGAGTGAATTTTAATGTCGTTGGCGAACACAACACCGAAACATCGCGAACATCCGGAAGTCTCGAAACAAAATACGTTGTTCCAGAATATGGTTTAACATTTTTGGAAAAATGGAACACAGATAATTTACTTAAATGTGAAATAACAGCCGATAATCGATTAGCAGAAGGATTTAAAGTTGTATTCGATGCAAGTCTTGTACCAAATACCGGGTAAGATAAGCGATATTTCACAAAGTTTTGTTTCGATTGATAAAAACACCTTTATAGCAATAGCTACGAGAGACTCCACTTTGGTATGAAAACCCGTCCATTAACCTTAGATATCACATCCCATAGGTATTTGTTTCGTTTAATATATTCTCAATGGATAAAAATGAAAAGTTAGTTTTTATCTTATCAACAACAAACGTACAGCTACACAGCCAAACTTCAGATACGTGTGCGCACACAAGTGAATAAATTACGTTTAACGGGATCTTATTCTCATTCGGGAAACGATCGATATTGGTAAAAATAACTTTTTTTATTCTTGCTTCTATTGGATATTAACGAGTTTAAGGAATCGAACTTAACTTTTCTTTTATGGTTTTGAAAATGATCTACATTTGTATTCTTATTTTAGGAAAAAAACAGCTGAACTTCGCACAGCATATACACACGATAAAGCTCATGTTGAAACGAATGTTGCTTTTGATAAAGATGGTCCTATTCTCAATGGAGCACTTGTTTTGGGTCATCAAGGTTGGCTAGGTGGTTATCAATATGTTTTCAATACAGCTCGATCAACATTGACCAAAAATAATTTTGCTGTTGGCTTCAAAGCTAAAGATTTCACATTATTTGCAAACATGTAAGTATAGAATTTTCGAATTATATACACAAGCGTTTCTTGGAATATTTCATACCTTTCAAGTGTAATGAGAAAATTTTCAAACATCTCGAAGTGCTACCATAAGAATGACATCGAGGGTTTTTATATTTTAATTTGGAGTACTTAATTATATTGGCTCTCTTTGTTTGGTAAAGTCAAATTGATTTTTTGCTATAGAAAATAAGGCGTGAACATTTTCCTATAGATTTTGACGGCTCGGAGAAATTCGTTAGTATTGGTTGCTCTTTTACTGTATGATCCGATTTTCGTTTTTGTTAAATAATCAATAACGAGCGATTTGAAACAGGGCTAATGTAAAACGTGCACCAGCACAAGAAACGAACAGAATAAGAAAAAGCGCCTCTGTTCGAAATGCACAAATGAATACGACAGATCGCTTATCCTTGAAAAGCAATTAATGCGTTTTAGAAATTTTTTGTATTACATATTTCATATTAGCATAATAAAGCTAAATAAGGCATGTTACCTTCAAATAAGCGATGAGTACTCATATAAAACGTTCAATTGTACTTTCGATCATGGGATTAGTTAAATACAGCACATCAAAATTTAATGTTTTTTTTTCTAGGAATGATGGTAATGAAGTTGGTGGTAGCGTTTACCAACGTATCAACGATCAACTTGAGACTGGTGTACAGTTAGCTTGGACAGCTGGTTCAAATCAAACGCGATTTGCACTTGCATCAAAATATCAACTTGATTCGCAAACTTTAGTTAGCGCAAAAGTAAATAATATTTGTCAAGTTGGTCTTTCATTTCAACAACTTTTACGACCAGGTATAAAAATTCATTTTTCTTGATAAACTTTTATTTTTATTCGTATTTTTTTGTATTGATTAGGTGTCAAATTGACTTTGTCGGCATTGTTCGAAGCAAAAAATTTGAACGCCGGTGGACACAAAGTTGGCTTCGGACTCGAACTTGATGCATAAATGGATGTTCCATTTCTTAACTTTTCTTTTCCAATGAGACTAGTATTCTTTGTCCTTCTAATTACCATTTTGTCCAGGTGATCGCACTGTTCTGAATAGGCTATATTTGCAGTTGTAAGGAAAAAAATTATTGTACTCCTATTCTTCTTTTTATAGCGTACACTCTTTTGTCTCGTTTGTTTTCTAAAAAAAATAATAAAAACACCTTGAAAACGATTCTAATCAATACATTGATACTACTAAATATTTTTCACAAGACATAAATCTTATCATTATATTCTCCTGGTCTTAAATGTTTGAATATGAAATAATTCTATATTTAGTTACTATTTCTGTACAATGAAAGTAAATAAGCTTTACTTGTAATATCAGCTGAAAGATATACTATGATGTGATAACAGATGTTGCGATTCATGTTTGTAGAGCATGTGTAAGATTAATATATTCATTATTCAGCATGAAAGTATTCTTATTTTTTACTGACCGTTTATGAAACAAGTATGCTCTTTGACTCTGCTACCGTTCTATTCTATGTCTAGCATAGGAGAAGAAAAACAAATCTTTTCTTTTACCCACAATGACCTAAGCCTCATTCTTCCATGTGAGTATATGTCGTATATTTATTTTGCCGTTATTATCTGTACTTAGAGAGAGAAAGAAGCAAATCTAGTCGAGAGTGTCGTATAAATACCTAGCGTTAACACAGGAGTACTCAGCAATCTCTGTCAACGTACTTTTATGATTCCTTTTACTTTCGCACTTTTCTCTCCATACAATAAACAAGTTGGGCTTCGATTGAAAAATGCTAATGCACGGATGTTTGTATGTAATTCTAAGCTGTTTGTCTAATAGAATAAATAGAGATATTTCTTCAAGGGTTTAGATATTCCAATGGAATTCAATGAAGAAGATGGTCATTGGCGTGTAACAGTAGATATACATGACGGTGAAATTCATTTATTTCATCTTTTCATTTCTTTTCGGGTATATATCATTATCAATTCAAAGTAGTAACATAATCTTGGTTTGAACAAGAATCAGAACCAGCTTTACATGAAAACAAATATGATGAGGAATATTCATAGAAGTTTGGTATACATTTGTCGATCCATATGCAACTGAAGTTGATGCACGTGGTTCCGATGATTTTTTTCGATGTGTTGGTGTACTAAATATTAAAAATGGTAAAGAAAACTTAGACGTGTTGATTTGTTTGCATTGATGGATATTTTAAGGGGAAAAAGTCGCTGATTAATATGAATGGAACTATAATAATCATGTTCCATTAGTTCTCAATGAAAACCTAATCATCTGCGAACTTCATATTGGAGATTTTGAAGATAAAATAGCGAATGTAACAGCTAAAGTTGATTATTTTGTTAAATTGGATGTTATAGCTGGTAAAAGAAACACTGCAACATTTATATCATTTTGCAATTCAAAGTGCATATGGGACAACGGCTGATATGAAAGAAATGATTGATACATTTCATCGGAATAGAATTTGAGTTATTATTGATGAAGCCTATTACCATGTAAGTTGAAATGCTGTATGCGTTCGAATCGAATAAATTTTTAAATATTTATTTTCCGTTCAATTTTGCACTGAAACATCGTTTTAATCCATTTAAAACTGTCCGTATGAAATTTTATACATGATGTTTTTTCTTCTCAGTGCAATGTGTCTGCACTATATACAGCAATTGATCATGACTATTGGTTTCTTCATTCATCAAAAGATCATGTTTGGAGTTGGGCACCAGTAAGTTATAATTGCTAGTTATTGCATTAGCTTTTATTAAAAATGAAAGGAATGGAATAATGAGAAATACGAAAAAAAGTATAAAATTTGGCCTGCAAGAAAATATATTACTGAATCTATTCTACCAAACAGCGCACTCAAAGATGTTATTGATGCACGTCAACGAGGCTATAGAAACATTACAGATCTTGTCAATCATCAATCAAATCATGATTATGACCGATTATTAGTCGATCTTGGTTAAGAACAATAAAGAGAAAAAAGAAAATTGCTTTTAAACATTAGTGTTTCTCATTTAGGCAAAGTAAATCATTTATTGATGAAGAGAGTGATGTCATAATCCTGTTACACCGGGTAACGACTTTTTCTCCAGCTAAACATACTTTATAAACATTCAGTGTATTACCCCCAAGGTATCCACTTTCGATATAACTATGTGTTTAACGTTGAGGAATTTGGAGCAGTTGCCTAATTCCACATCAAATAAGAACGAGATTTTCGAAGAATCCATTGATGACTTTGAGCCTGCTACAAGTTTACCTGCGTTTGCTGTAAGAAACTGAGTGCTCCGAGATGTATAGGTTAATTTGTGGGAAAGTTGGTTTGAATATCTGTAAAAAGATGAGACACAGTTGCAGTATCCCGTATGAAACATCGAGCAGCTTAGGTATGTGTTCCGGTACCTGTGGTGTCTCTCGAAGGACTCCACTCGTACTGGTAGCAACGTGACTCAAGGGGTGTTGGAAGTCGAGAAATAATCTTAGCAATCGGATACATAGTTTCAGCAAGTTCACACATTCTTTTAGAAACCTAAGACATTCATGTAGTAGAGTCCGGCATGCTTCCAGCAGCGACAGCCTTCCATCAACCAATGTTACGCATTGTCAGGAATCCAGGGAAGGCTCCTAGGAATCATAAATTATGGCATACATTTCAGCCTAAGTAATATTCATGTCTAAATTCAAATTATTTACAAAACAATTCAGATAAAATAATGTTATTTGCATTTTCCTGTAGCAGTATCTGTGCCTTAAGTTTTTCCGAAGTGATACTGTGCAGTAGATGAATCAATTATATTCAAATTCGAGTTGTTTTTGTGTATTTCTTTGAGGATATCCAAGTTGTTACGCTTTAGAGTAATACCCCAAAGCAACTCAAATTCCTCAACTTTAAAACATATAGTTATATCGAAATTGGATACCCTAGGGGTAATACCCCCAAAAGAATTCGATGGATATTATGACTTCAAAATCACGATACCCAGTGTAAAGATATCAAGGGGGAAATAGAGTACTCCAGGACTTCACTGGATTGGAGTCGCTATTTCCCCCTTGATAATTATAAATTACATTTAATTTCTTTTATTTCAAGACAATAAGTTAGATAGATTTGTGCATATATGGATATGTTTTCTATTTTTCAATAGAGGTTTTCTTTCTGCCTAACTGCAGTATATTTACCCAGATTTCTGAGCAGAATTTCTTTGCTAAGAAGATCATTTCTGGTCGATATAGCAATAATAACAATTCAAAGAGACTTGCTGCTTTGAATTATGCCTGATGCCTATTTCATTAAGAAAACTCGTTAAAATTATAGTACAGATAAGTTACTAATGTAGGTTTTGGTTTCTTTGATTTTAATACCACATTTGTATTATGAAGGAGAGTATTCAGGACTTTTTCTACTATTTCCTAATGTTCAGTTGGCCGCTGCTAGTCGAGTAAAACGTACAGAAGTGTCTATATTGAAACATCATTTGTATTCAGAAGAGCAAGGTTAAATACTAGATATTGTTATTAAAGCTATGCATTATATTTGCTAAACCCCATTTACTCAAACAGGAGGCTTGCCTTCATCGATATTAAATCATCTCAGTCCACTGTGTTCAATCTAGCTAAAGGAGTTCCACAAGGTAGTGTGGTCGGCCCTGTTTTGTTCATAGTTTACCATCACGACCTCCTTGCATCGCTGGAAACTATTCACTGGAAACATTTATTTGGCGACGATTTATCTATCTCATTTTCGGCGGATTCTTCGTTAGCTCCATCGAACATGATCAAGGACATCACTGAACAAATCGTTAAGGTTCTCAATCGACTCATCGATTATTCTAAATCCTGGAAGCAACCGATAAACTTCAATAAAACCCATTGGATGTTATTCAACAGACAAGTTGCTCCAAAGTTACCAGAAATTGTTTGTCAGCGTCACCTTATCAATCGTGTGAATAGATTTAAATATTTAGGCACCTTTCTTGGCGAGAAACTTTCATTCAATCCGCATACTGATTACATCAAATCAAAAATCAACTCAAATCTGAGGATATTGAAACGGTTATCATCGACCAGAATGACTTGTGAAAAAATGAATTTCAAATTGTTCAATGCATACATCCGCCCCTATTACCAATCGCTGCTCAATGTTTATCCGATTTTATCGGACGGGAAGAAAGGTCAATTAGAAAGTCTAAATCGCAAAATCTTTCGAATTATCCACAACTGGCATGACGCCATAAATATCGAAGTTACGAATTTGATACAATACCGACCAATAGCCGAACTTAGTGCAGTACATTGGAATAAACTCATAGACACAATTATTAGAACAAATCCTAGTGTTATTCAAGATTATTTACAACATAAAATGTCAATTCTATACATCTACGAATATGTAAACAATCCAGCACTAACGATGGAAAGAAAAGCTGTGTTTGAAAGAGGTAGAATTCGCAAATATATTTGGGACTTAATAACGGATAATCGTATGACACTCCTCGGCCACATCTTATCTTATCCTCGTTGACCACTTTGTCAAAGCAACTGCTGTTTCTCGATATTATCTTCCTAGACTTTCAATCTCATTCTCAACCAGTAATCCTTATCCACGAAATTTAGTATGGTTCGAAACACAATCGCTTATTTACGTCATCTACTCTCTTGCTCTTATTATTGCCTTTTGATCTTCACATTTGTATTTACTATTTTTTTTGGCCGATTTTCGGCTCGTTCCTTCCATTTTTGTTATTTCAACTTGGTTTTTTTCAGGCTACACGAGCGAGTTCGCTCATAGCCATGGGATATTGTTAACGACTATCCCTTAATAAAGAGCTCTAACTAAAACAAAAAAACAGGAGGCTTCATCTGAACGATGTTGATTAATCTTTTATGAATATCATGTTGCTTTTAGTACACTAGTTCTAAGCTTTTTTTTTATTGGGGTGCGATATTCCAACTTCTTCTATAATACAATATGGCTATGGTTATTGAATGAAGCTTTATTATATATGGGTGAGTGTGCCTCTCGTTTTAATATTTTAATTGTCTTTTTTTCATGCGAAGATTGATTTTTATCAAGCAGTAATTTCAATTAGTGGAATTAATAAGAACTGTTCTCCTAATAAATTACTGATTTTCCGTTTAGATCCTGGCAAAAAGAGAATACATCCTATTCCGCAATGTTGAACATTCCGGAACCAGTTCCGCTCACGGAACCAATTCCATCTAATTCCCGAAATTCCATTTATCACTTCCAACAGAATTCCGGAATTCGCGGAATCACTGCCGATCAATTTCATCTAATTCCTGGAATTCCGTTTACTCATTCCGACTCAATTCCGGAATTCCGGGAATCACTGCCGACCAATTCCATCTAATTCCCGGAATTCCGTTTATCAATTCCGATTCAATTCCGGAATTACACGGAATTCAAACGGATTCCGCCTAATTCCCAACGGTTCCGGAATTCAGTGCACCCACACTAGCATCCACACCCACACTTACCGCAACACCCACATTTACACCCACACCATGCAATTCCGGTACGGAATTCCTAGGAATTCCGTCTAATTCCCACCGATTCCGTATTGACCTAATTCCGGAATTCCGCACCGGAATCGGATCATCACGAAATGGATAAGACAAGCTAGAAGAGTGATACAAGTTGTAATTCCGGAATTCCTTGCGATTCCGGAATTGAGTGATCAATGGACACTTGATATATCTTATCGCTCGGTGACGAATGCAATTCCGGTACGGAATTCCGGGAATCAGGTCGGACAGGAATTGAACGGAATCCCATGGAATTCCTGGTAATTCCGTCTAATTCCCACCGATTCCGTATTGAGCTAATTCCGGAATTGGACTGAATTTCGTGGAATTCCGGGAATCGGACGAACTAATTCCGGAATCGAACGAAGCCGTTCCGGAATTGGAATAACTAATTCCGGAATCAGATGAACCAGTTCCGGAATCGACCAATGTTCATATTTGACCTAATTCCGGAATCGACGGAACTGATTCCGGGGGTGGAACTGGTTCCGGAATGTTCAACATTGCGGAATTGAATGACTGCTCGGCAAAAACATCTTCAAAACAAATGAATGGCTCTATATATGAAATTTGCTTGCTCTCTTTGAATCAAACCCAACAACACGGTCAAACACAAATATTATTGCAAGTAAGTGAAGCAATTGTATGATTTCATAGATGAGAGTGTAAATAGATCAGGAACAGGATCTTCGAGCAATGATAACCCTGAAGAGTGCTACATTAATACTACTAAAAGTTCAAGATTTAGTAGAAGTTTAGATGATTATTATAACATTACGGTAGAATCATATGATAATTTTACTTTAGCATTTTACTAGGTTAGGATGAAATTCTAAGATGTTTCTTAGTAAGATAGATGGATTTAGAGACTTTCTGGATGTATTCGTTTTAAACCGCTAACTACAATCCTTTACGAAGTTGTTTGTTTTTTGGTGATTTAATTATCCTCTCTCTCTTTTTTAAATTTCTCTTCTCTTCGTATGCTTTAACCTGGTAATTTTCTTGTTTCCTATTTCATTTATTGACGTTTCGATCGATGAAATCGATCTTCTTCAGAATAAAATAGGAAATGAATACAGAAAAAGTTGTTTTACTGATGACATTCAATTGTCAATTTTTTCTTTATTTTCTTTATAAATATTATATTACAGTACTGGTACGGACACCTAAATATCAAACAAAAGAAGTTCTAGCATATAGCGTCTTTTCCGTACCAACACTGTAATATTTATAAAGAAGATAAAGAAAAAATTGATAATTGGATGAATCATCAGTAAAACAACTTTTTCTGTATTCATTTCCTATTTTATTCTGAAGAAGATCGATTTCATCGATCGAAACGTCAATATATTAAATAATAAACAAGAGAATTATTACGTTAACACATAGGAGGAGGAGAAAATATTATACACAATCA